TCCATAACATTGTGAATTTTTGTGGTGTGCTTGTGTGTGACTAAGCGTGTTTGTGTTGTGTTATTCGTTTTTGTAGGCGAACCATACATTTTCAGCCTTTTTGCCTCCGGGGGAGGAGATATGATTCCGCGGAAGGGCTTTGTGAGAGATTTAGATTTTCACGTTCGCAGTCGTTTCTCGCGTTTGGGTGGACGGATTCTTTGGGGACTCAGTATATGTTTTGCTATTGGGCTGTAAATGATGCACGTTTTTTTGCTTTTATTGTATATGTGTTTTCGGGCGGGAAAATGGTGCCTTTTGGTGGACCCAGAACACCCCTTTGAGTGTGAAAATGGTCGCGACCGTTGACCTTTGGCGTGTATTAGGTATTTACGGTCTGGTCCATGAAGCTGACCCCTCGCACAGAGGGGTGTCCGGTCTTGATAAATTCTTTGTTAACATAGCAAAGAACATATAAAAATATACAATAAAAAGCCCGGAGGTATAAATTCTCAGATTTTACTTGTTTGCTATGTATGTGCTGTTTCCTCAAGCGTGATATTATTTTGTATTTTTACGTTTTACATATCATGAGGCTAACATTAGGCTTCATTAAATGTATTGCTGTGTAAAAGTAATTTTTACAATGACAAGAGAAGCAAAATGTAGCCAACAGTTTCAGGGTCAGGTTTAAATTCTTTTAACATATTATAATGGTTTACATCATATCATCATCTAAAGTCATTATCAAGCTCAGTATCACCTCCACATAAAAGAAGCAAATGTAAAAGTGTGTCAATGATTCTGTTACAAGTATTAGGAATGAACCATGTGTTTGTTGGTTTTGCGCAGGTCATAGTCTAAATGTAGACTGACTGACACACATTATCATTACAGAAAGTATTGTCATCACAATCAAAGAGATAAGTTTGCGAAGTGTGAAGTCGACATACCCTTCTACTGTACTAGCCACGGCAACTTAAATCTCAAACAATGCATCACTTATTAAACTTATGTTTGATTATAGTGTACATTATGTCATATTTTGGAAATTTATGTGATTTACAAACTTCATGGATACGTATCTTTTTTCTTTCGCATCATTTTTGTGATCACTTCCTTTGTCTATTTGTTGAAATAAGTTTCACATTTGTTGAAATGTTTTTAAATACGCACTTGAAACCTATAATTTTATTCTATTTATTTCATTTGTAAAATAGTCTGATGACAGGTACAAATAAATATTTCCTTGGGATTTTTCAGACCAAATGGCTCAATGATGTAAATGTACCTGAATTATTTATTAACATAACATAACATAACATAACATAACATAACATAACATAACATAACATAACATAACATAACATAACATGATATAACATACAAACACAAATAATGTAACATAACATAACATAACACAACATTACATAGGATAACATTACGTTTGGATGTTGTACGATTTAAACTAAGCATCTTAGTTAATGGGTTGTTTATTGTCTTGGACCTTACAAGTTCAGAAAACTTGATGTATTTTATTTTGTAAGATGCACTTTTTGCTTATGCTGCAACAATTGTTCACATTTTTAGATGTATGGAATAAGAGGGGAATATAAATATTGACCAATAAATGTGGCCTTCCCATTAGTCAATGTCATTGGGCTATGTAATAATTAAATTTATACCTCCATAAAGTGACGCTTTGCTCTATTTTGGACCTCGCACAATTACAAAATATCATTGATGAATTGTTCCAACTATACTTGAATTAATTACTTTAATTACAAAATATTTATTATTTTCGTTTATTAATTCTTTAAAAAATTAGAGTAACTACGCCATCCAAAGATAAACTACAAGTCATACAATAATAATAATGATACTTTACAGCCTTCTAGTAATAAAAGACGTTTATTTGTACTTGATAATAACAAAACATGTTTATATATAATGTAACATGTAAATTTTAAATGCTATTCAACATAAATTCAGTACTTTTTAACATTAAAAAAGTTAACATTATTTACTACTTTCATTTAACTATATAGACGAAATTAATATGTTGCAATAGACTTTATTTCTGTGGCCCCTTATCATGATATTGTTTCTACAGAAGCTGGGCGTATCAAGACTTCTAAAACATTTATAGGCATAATCTTTTATTGTAAGTAGCATCGTAGATTAACACAGATACTCGACAAAGCGCGTCATTAGTATCGTTTCTAAACGCCTGAAATAAAGTTTTTCCTGATGTTCGTAAGCCTGCTGTCATCTCTGCCTATGCTAATAGAGTTTGAAATACTTACTGCATATATACGTGAGCAGGCACACCTACCTAAATTGGAGCTGTATTTTCTCTACTTGCACCGGTTTAATGTTCTGTGTTTGTATACAAACGTAGTTGTACGTAGAATCTTTGCTTGGGTCAAAAAGAAACATGGAACCGGTAGATTCTGGCTGAGCAGCTGTGGCGTGTCACCGTATTAAGGTCAACGTCAACTTGATTATCTGTGGATGGATTTTATCTAATTTTTGGTATGTTGGTAGCTAATTTTTTAAACATGTAGTTCAAGTTTTAAAATGCTCTGTTTTTTTTAAATCGTATTTTAGCGGATATTTTTGTGCATTTGTCCATTGCATGTATTCAGAAACATTTTTAATGGATCATAATAAAATTTGGTAGGTGTGCAGAGGTTATAGAAACAAAGTTCAACTCCGAAAATGTTTATCTTTTCATGACCCTACGTTGCTTTAGAGAGTTGAATATTTTTGGACTTTTGTTTATGTTCAACATAACTTGACAAGAAAATACAGATGGTTGTTAATGATCAGTTGTTAGGTAGGGACAAGAAAGACGCAGGTCAATGTCGATAATAAACCTCATTGTGGCTGTTTTGGGTATTGCAGCGGAGCTTCAAAATTGAGGTAAATTTTGTTTGGTGTTAGGTTGATGATTTTTAAGTACTCGAAAGCTGTTGAGACAACTAGCACGTGGTGCTATTTTTAGCTTCCTACTGGTTTCTTTGGAACTGCAGTTGACATTTTGTTTCATACTTCGACTGCGAATAACTGATATAACACGGGTGGATTGTTTTTTTTATTGTTTTTAGTAGGTAGGTGACTAATGTGAAAATAAACTTAATGAAATTCATGTCGACTTGGTGCGAAACAAACACAACAAGAATTCCGAGACCTCATACCTCCATGAAATATGGGCTTGATATGTAAATGTAAATTTCTTCTTAAATTATGCAAATGACCTCTGCATTAACATAATATATACATCGTGATGTATGTTAACTTTTGATTAACTTACAGATGTCCCAAGTATGACATCCCCATCATTCACCATTAAGAAATTATAGACTTTTCGCATTAATTATGCAAATTAGGTCATCATTTGCATAGTTAGTATCTTTTGATGCTCCGCCTGCCATAGCTTACATACATTACATGTATGAAAGTAGTATAATGTAAAACACTGTAATTATAGAATTTCCTCATTAATTATGCAAATAAAGTCCTCATTTGCATAATTTGCATTTTATCATGTACAACTGTCTCTCAGGTACCTACACACCAAAAATGATGAAAATACGTTGTTCCAATCTGGACTTATTGGCTTTGAAAGTTTTTACCAGAAACTAACCTGCAGTTCCAGAACAAGCTGCTAGGGGGACCAAACTTACGCCACTTATTCCTAACAGGATAAGCTATCTGTCACCAAAAAATCAAGACCATAGCTTGTTCAGGACAAAAGATACAAAAACCGGTAGTTCTGCTGCAGTACCAAGGTCATCCACCAGGAGGCCCGTACTTGACCTTGACCTTTGTCTTTCCAAGACCTACCATCATACCAAATATCATCACAATCCATAAAGGCGTTCTGAAGTTATGCTGACTACAAAGTTGCGGAAACACACACAGACACACACACAGACAGACAGACAGACAGACACACACACAGACATACATACAGACAGACACGCCAAAAACAATACCTCCATTTTTCATGGAGGTAATAATATCTACACCTGGCGAAAGTATGTGTGCCACGAACTCTAGTTTCTTTCAGCATTTACTGTTTAATTTAATGATTTTATTTTAAAACAGTATTAGTATAAACCATTCTCAAAATGTATCTGGTGCAGGCAATTTTCTATGTTACCTGAACCATTACAGGCATTCACAAAAAGTATTTTGATTTGATTTGATTTATTAGGCTAAATAAGACATATGTATGCAGCCAGGACTGCCCAACTAGCCGGAGGCTATTATAAAGGGCTAGCCCTCACGACAAGAACATAAACAATTCGGAACAGGTAGCAGTTAACAGTGTCGGTTTGCACTTCAGATGATCCTGGTTAATTACCAGATCCACTGTACGGTGTGAAAACAAAGGTAAGGGGAATGATAATAACGAGACCAACGATGTACGTCACAAAGCAGATCCTGTCTACAACATGAGCCAGATTGTAATAATCTGTATCCGGCTCGGAGTCTTCTTTTTCTCTCTCACGTAGCGACTTCACACTTGCCTGCAGTTCAGTCAGAAGCTGCTTGATGGCGTGAAGAAGTTGTAGCTTCTCTCTTTCTGCTGGTTTGTCGTGGAAATAGTAGACCACTTCCTTGGCCATGGCGTTTTGCTGCTTAGATTTGTCTGTTGAGTCGACGGAGATACTTTCTGGCTCCACGGCACCCCTCATGTTTTTGCTCAGGTCACCCAGCAGCAGTAACCTGGCCAAGTGCCGCAGGAACAACGCTCTCGCCCAGCGTGGCATTTTGCCTTTCTGTGACAAGAGAAAGGGTTTAACTTAAAGCTGGTATAGTAAAGGTTTGGGCACAAAATTGACAATATTTGATCCCTTGCTTGTCTTTCCTTGTCTTTCCTTTAATGCCACGATCATTATATAATTGATCATTCTGGCATGCCAATTCTTGGCAAGACTCCGAATTGTAGAATTTGTACCATCGCACACCGGGGCATGCCCCTACTCTTTTTCGAAAGGTGTGGTGGGTTCTTTAACGTGCGTGGGGTGTGGCTTTCCCCAAACACGGGACCTCCATTTAACGTCCTATCCGAGGGACGTCCCTAACCGAAGCTAGGAACTCATTTACACCTGGGTTAAGTGAGGAAAGTCGTGTAAAGTGCCTTTCCCAAGGGCACAAGATCGGTGACATGGGTGGGGATCGAACCCGGGACCTCTAGGTCCCGAGCCGAACGCGCTACCGCTGCGCCTTACGACCCCACTTAATAAGTGTTTTAACATCTCAGTTTGTATCCCATTTTTTTTTTTTGGGGGGGGGGGGTACGTTTCTTTTATCATCATTATTGTATCTAGACTATGTAGGTCTTAGTAGCATCCTGTAAGTGGTAGAGGTCGGGGTATGCAAACGCACACACACTCACACACACACGTACACACACACACAACACACACACACACAACACATACACATAACACACATACACAGATATATAAACATCCATGATATATATATATAGATATGGATAAATATTTAAATTCTGTTGACGTTTGATTCGTACCTTTTGACTCAACCTGGTGGTAAAGACGGCTAAGAGCATCCACAGGGCCATCATGCAGATGTAGATTAGAACAACAACCGCTACAAAAGGCAACAAAGACAGCAGATGTTACAACAAGAACACAGCAACAGGACACATTCGGTAACTACTGATATGTAAGTCCAACTGTCACGGTTCTACTAATTATCTCATGTATCGTGTCTGCTGCATGAATTTTGTGCAATGTTTTTTCCTTACCTATTACTGGCAGGGATTCTTCAGCAGGTACAATTTCCGTGATGAAGACCAGAGTCACTATCATGGACAGGAAGATAGTCATAGCGTAGCCGAGGCGCCCTCCCTTTCAACAGAAATGGTAGGGTATGAAAAAAAAAAAGAATTTTGCCATAATTAATGGTAAGTGGGCCACGTGTAGCTCACTTGGTTAATATTTGGTTCAGTTTATAGAAATTGCAATAGTGCCATACACGTGGGTGTATGGCAGCTGTTGCTGGTGTTGTGTCCCGCAAATAAAAACAAATACTCATAGACTCAGACAATACTCATATCCACTTGAGTTTAGTGGGGAAAGTCGTGAAAAGTGCCTTTCCCAAGGACACGATATTAGTGGCATGTAAGGACTCAAACCCAAACCACATTGCATGTTAGGACTCAAACCCAAACCACATTGCATGTAAGGACTCAAACCCAAACCACATTGCATGTAAGGACTCAAACCCAAACCACATTGCATGCAAGAACTCAAACTCAAACAACCTCTTGGTTCCGAGTCGAGCTCGCTGCCGTTGCGCCACACGACCAAAATGAACCGCCACATTCTAAATAGGCAGAACGTCCTGCGCTTGCGCAGAACCCCTATTTTCGCGTTTTTCGTTGTTTTTTTGTCAACGTTGCATCAAAATTTTGCCTGTTGCAGAGGATATTCTTTCCGACACAACATTTGGAAACTAATGTCGAAATACTAATCTTATATGAGGGAATACGACCTTATATGAGACATTCTGCCGAAATTCTATGTACAATACATTACGAGTTTCGCGCAGGTGCAGTACGTTCTGCCGACGTGCTCGCCCACGAGAAATAAATTATTCATGTTCATGAATCACGTGACCTACCGTGTCCAATGGCAGCAGAAAGGTCACGGACATCAGCAGTGCTAGAAATGAACTCGGGGCGATGGCCGTACACATGTGGTAGGTCGGGTCACGGCGCATGTGCAGTTTGATGCAGGCCAATGTGAAGTTTCCTTCTTCTTCTTCTTCAATCTGAAATTTTATGTTTACATCCTTCTCTATATGCGTTTTGCACGGAACGATCATTATGCTAGATGCTTTTAAAATATTGTAGAGTAGTTGTAAAAGGGATAAAATTTAACAAGAATGCATATTTTATAGAAAAAAACAATGACAACTGCAAATGCGATTAAAGTTCCACGTCCACATTCCTTTGACAACTGAATGTTGACTTTTATCCTTAATCAGACTAGACTAGACATGTTTTTAAGGCCCGCCCCCTTTAACCAAACAACCACTTATTATACTAGTAGTAGTAAAAAATAAATCATAACATAAAAAGTCAGTATCATTATGACGTAAGGTAACGTTATTATCATTTATGTCATTGTCTGGGGCTAAATGCGTTACCTCTTAAAGATTGAATTCTTGTTGTGACCCAACATTATGTTTTAAAACCCTGTGTTTAATTCACTCCCCCTCAGAACTCGCTAACGGTATATCGTATGACCACCAAAATTTAGGAGGATGGTGTACTAGTAAAATAGAATCATAACAACAATGATGTCGTTATGACTTTATATAATGACGCCACTAATCCGATTTTAGTGGCCAAAACCTTATAGATGAGTTATTCCCTAAAAAAACATGGTTTACAACATGACTTTAAGGAAAAGTGTTTAGGATAGAATATTACCGTGTACTACGTGTTTATGATAGAATATTTTTTATAAGTCCTGATTTAAATAAGTTTTGCTTAACGATATTTGCCTTCACTAAGGTAAACATCGCACTATCTTACAACGAATGTGGCAAAAGTCATTTACCTCCCACTCGGTGTTCCACTCGTCCACCCGTATGAAGGTGTCCACGTCACAGTACGCCAGGTCGACCCGAGACGAGTGGGCGTGGTCTCTCTCCAAACACCGCAGCACCTCGTCCTTCCGCTGTTCTTCATTAGCGATGCACGCGCTGCACTCCATGTCATCAAAGGGGAAGTTTCTTGCATCTAGAGGGTTGAAGAAATTTATCTATTTATTTATGAAGATTTACCACATCTGTGGAAGGATTGACGTAACAGGTGACTATCACCTATCGTCCAGTAGGGAGTATCGTATTGTGTTAACTACTCAGATCAAAGCAGAAAAGCAGTGTTTTTTTTTAAATTCTCTACAGATTACATGTTTTAATTATTGTAGGAAGTGCATGATTAACATTGAATCTCCGGGAAACTCAGTATCTTTGGAAAGGGTTTAAATCCTGGATTCTGAATCGGACTTCTTTGCAAGAGGAGTTAAGGGGGGTGACTACATAAGAGCACACAGGCCTACCCTGAACAGAGACGGGGGCGACACAAGTTATCTGGAACTTATGACCCGCTACTACGGTTACGTCTGCCTGACGTCACGTTCCAAGAGTAGACGGGTCCATTTCGTAAACAAGGTTGATGGAGTCAACCAAAAATGTGGGGTAAGTCCCTGTTGGTTAGTGTTGGAAGTCAAAGCTTAGTCTTTATTTCATAATGACCTGTACCAACACAGATGAACGTCCGTGCTAAGTTGTAGAATTTGTTTAAAGTAGACTATCATACTTACTGTGTTCACATGTAGTCTTTAATATCTGAGAGATGTCCCACACCACATCCCCGTTCCGAAACACTCGCGCTCCAGCAGATGACTTGAAACCCTCAAACTCCGGATCAGCACTGTAACGTAGTTGGTGACTCAATCATAATTCGTATTTTTAAACGCATTTCGTTACCGATTTAGATTTATATAATCCAGTCAAGTTGTGCTATAATCATTCTAGTAGATAGATGTTGTAAAGGAACCCTTCTTATAAATAAATCGTAAGAATGCAGTAAAACAGTGCGCGCGTGGTTTGTTGACCTCTCTCGCCTTCGCCCCCCCCCCCTCTGCTTGATTAGTTCATGGTTTTAATTCTCAGTTCCATGTGCATAATGCGTGATTTTTGTCTGTCCTTAAGTTTTACGTACATGTACACGCGACAATAGATTTGTTTTGATTAACGAAATAGATAGGTGTGCACGTGACGAACAGCTGATTTTAAAGATTGACACAGTGGGGTTCACGTGATTAAAACGTGATCTTACTTATTCGCCAGAGCGAGGGCGGGTCTCCACAGCTTGTCATCGGACACGCGGATCTCATCAACGTCTGAGTATCTCGAGTTCTGCCATTGGAGGCGTCTGTCGTTCCATATCTGCAAGTAGGAATAAATAAATGAATTAATGAACGTTATTTCTTAAAAATAATTTAGGCTAAAATATAAAGCAACTCAACTGAATATTTAAATATCCTACATTTTTCTTTTGGCATTTATATTGCAAAATGTATCAAATGTTAAAAGGAACTTACCAGTCTGAATACGACCGACGACAAAATCTGTTGATCATGCACTTCCTAGAATAATTAAAGCATGTAAGTTGTAGAGGATTTAAAAAAAAAAAGTGCTTTTCTGCTTTGATCTGAATAGTTAACACAATACTATACTCCCTACTGGACGCCGCATTCATGCAAAAGCGCTCCCGGGAGGATACACTACAGAAAAAGAAACCAAGTACACCACAATATCACAAAGTCCTAGTAACAACGTGCATATACAGTCCAGATCTCCCAACACCGCACGGGAAAATTCTTTAACGTCAAAGCCCACATAAACTGCTAAAGGAAGAACATCGACTTCTTGATCCAATGCAATGATGCGGGTACAGTATGGGGGGCGAGACCGAATAGACCCTCGCTAACAAACTTAATGGCCAGACTTAATTTATCGGTTGTATCCATACCCGTAGCTTTCTCATGATCAGGGATGGACCACAATTTTTGACAAAAAATCTTGGTTTGCAATGTAAAATGTTTGTAAAGAATACTTCTTGCTGCCAGCTGATCATGCCATTTTCGAAGATTTGTAAATAAAAAAAAAAATTAATCGTAAAAATGAATGAAACACTATACCAGCTGTAGGACATCCACCAGGGCTGCACGGAAAAAGATGACGACAGTTCCGGTGTCAGGAGGAAACGCCGGGTTGTAGAAATTCTCGTTGAACAGCTCGTCCATGAGACGCAGGCGTCCGTCAGCTGCAAAGAAAATGAAGAAATGAAAGGGAAAGGAGTTGATTTTATTATTGTATTATACAGCTTCCTAGTACATTTTAAAATAATATTACATAATTAAAATGAATGTCATTAAGGTTTACAGGTTGATCATTTGAAATAGTTTCCAACAGTGTAAATATTTGTAGGACCCTATCAAGAACCCTGTAATAAAGGTCTAGGACATTTATGGGGCAGTTGCGATTGTATTACCTTTCACTTAATAGGTGCCCTGTAACATAGGATTCCATAATCCTTTGCTTTCCATAATGTCAAATATTCTGTTTAGACGGAACTACGTCGTAACTAGACCATTCTTACTTTGACATTCCGGTGGAGGGCTGGACCAGGTTCCGTTCTGCAGGCAGTAGGCGTCCTGCTCCCCGGAGGTTACCCGGTAACCCTCGTTACACCGGAACGACACCCGGTCTCCCGCCCGGTAGGAACCTTTCACGGGAACACGACGTCCGTTCTTCGGGTTCACGGAGCTTTCACAAGCACCTGCTCGATTATCAAAAGAAAAAAAAAAAGTATGATTACCTTTATCGTACATACAGCAAAGAAATAACTTGTATGATAATGTATATACATGCACACATAACCAAGCGATCAGTATCACTATAGTCTTCTAAGCAAATTTAACTTTTCCTTTCTCTGTGAAAGTCGAAAGTCATGTTAAGTGCCTTTACCGAGAACAAGATCGGTGGCATGGGCAGGATTCGAACCCACGATCTCATGGGTGTGAGCCGAACGCGCTACCGACTGCAAAACGCGACCCTACTCGATGTTACTGGTTAAGTCATAGCATCGCTGTAAGAAATCGCTTAACGTAAAGTATGTGGTAGTATCACCTTCGCATGGATCCACAGAGCAGGTATCAGGCACGAGGGAGCCTTCAGAATCTTTCACGTAGCACCAGGGCTCAGGACTTGCTGTGGAAAAAACGTAGATATTGTATTATGGTGGCCAAACCAAAATCATTATAGGCCTCAATTAGACTCACTACGCACTCAAGTGTCTAGTGACCATGTATTTTAGGAAATTATTCTGAAGCAAAGAAAGACTGCGTAAAGAAAGTATTCTGACAGCATGACTAACGGAATTTGACTTTCTTGAACCTTGAAAATGTTAGGGCAGAAAGTTTGATTTAAAAAAAAAATTGAAAAAAATCAGCAGCTTTCACGTGAAATAAAACGCATTAGCTTTGATCCAAAGTTACTTGTATTGTCGGTCAGAGAAACGTTTCAGCATAATAAAGAAAATTATAAACCCAACTCTGTTAGGATGTGCACAAACGTAATGTTAGCACCAATATCGTGGTACATCGAAATAAGTCTATACGACAGATATTTTACATTTTTGGGGCATTAGATAGGCCTTCTGTATGTGTGTATTGTGGAGCCTTACAGTATGGGTTTCGGCAGTAGGATTCCTGCAGGTTTGCCCAGTTATATTGTTCTTCGAGCAGAGACGGGGCAACCAGCCTGGCCGCGTCAGACCAGGGTTCGCAGCGCTCTCCCGACTCGCCGATACTTCTGTTCCCCTGGTAGTTTTCACCATTGCCATAGAAGCAATCTACAGGATCAATGGATAAAAGAAAATATGCCAGGGTTACCATTTCCTCCTCGGGGCTCGGCTTGGCAGTTTGCGGGAAGAAATAATATTGTATAAAAGACTATCAGTAGTTGAAACCTGACGTAGGCTACACTTAAGATAGCAGAAAAAAAGTCTACAGGGTTGTTGTTGTGTTTGTACACCATTAAGATACATATTAATATCAGTTACATCACTTACATGTCAGCTAAACTACAATACCACTGCAAATACTTAGTTAATTAACGTGCCATCGCATTAGCATCTGCCCTTCTGCATGAACTCTGCTACCGCTTGTGGCGAGGGTGCATAAACTATCCTAGACATGTTTGAGACAACATTCTTGCAGCTTCATCACCTTTCAGCAAACGGGAACAGAGAATAAATTGCAGCAGCCAAAACGTTGTCAGTTAAGAATGTTCAGGTTGCAAAAAATTATCCTATTCTCAAAGAATCTGCCAATATTGTAGTTTAGGTAAAGTAGAAGACGAGGTACATTTTATTGTGGATTGTTCCATGTATGACAGCGAAAGAAACGTTCTTTTCGATTTTGTGTCAAGCAAATACTCCCAATTTAAGTATTTGAATAGTATAGAGAAATTTATATCCCTTGTAGTCTTTAACAAACCAGCTCTAACTACTCATACAGCCAACTACATTTATAAGATTACCAGAAAGCGAGAGGAAGTTGAAAGTACTTGTGTACTATAGCAGTTTTATTATCAACATTGATGTACTTTGTCAATATGTGACCTGTCTTTAGCCCAGTGGGGCAAAATGTACAATAAAGGTCTTCATTCATTCATTCATTAAATACATGCATACCGACCTCTTCCTTGCGGAGTTGTCTTGCTGTAACACTGGCTGCTGTGAAACAGGTTACAGGCGCTGAACGTCTCCTCCAGCCCCGGGACCTGTCCTCCGCACACCTGCTGAACCTCCACACACCACGATCTGCACGGCAGCACCAGTCTCGTGCTGGTCACAGGCAAATACGCACTTTCAACTTGTTTAAACGAAACGTCACGTTTATGTGCTGATTATATGTCACTCCATACAACGTTTAAGGTACAACCATACTGTAATCATTATAAATCGTCCAAAACTGCGGGAAAATGAGCAAAAATCAATTGTAATTTGAAAAAAAAATATATTGGAAAACGATACCAACGCCAAAAAAACAAATGAAAAAGACAGAAAATGTTAATAAATTATTTTAAAGAGTAGATACTTCGCCATACCATGCTCTGTATGAATTGTTCAACCTACATGACCCCATAGATTTCACAATTAAACCAATCGCTTGCCAAAATTTTAGTTATTCGCACGCTCGCATTAGGTTTGGGGTTCCCAGAAGGTGCCATCTATTTAATCAAATCGACATGGCCCAATTGTACTTTTTCTTGAACAATCTTTTGGGAAGTAAAAGTTATTAAGTTCATATTGCTTTGCACGAGATGAGTCCAAACCCCAAGTTTGAAACAATTATAAACAAGTCATCCTTTCTCATTTAAATTTGTATGTAAACAATGCAAATAATTTGTAAACAAATTTTGTTCAAGGCACATGATTATTTCAAAAGCAACGTAAATATAGTACCTGTCACATCTTGGGAACAGAAGTGTACAGACGTAATCAACGAACTGTTCATGGCAGGGTGTGTTCTGGCGGTGGTGCTGGGTTAAGTTCTGCAGTTCTACAGAATTCCGGATCTCCTCAAGCGACTCATGACCCGCCCAGTTAGGCAGCAGGACATCTCTGTAGTCTAGACCTTTGCAAATGCCAAGATCTAGATTAGATAACCGCTGGCATTCTAAAAACAATTGAGATATTATGTGTTAGAACAGAACAAGCACAAATACTATATATATATTTTGTTTCAATCTCGCTGTAGCAAGGTATTTTTTCAATCATACTTTTGTATAGGATTCGAAACATATGGCGGACATGTTGCAAAAGGCTGGTAATTACTTGTTTCTCTACGAAATGTTTTCCGTGCTGGATTGGCAAAAATATCATAGTAATAACGGCCCTGTCACATTCGTCGTACGATAGGGATGCAACAAGAAAATGTTTTGGATGTGCCGTGCAACATTTAGCTGTCATGGAAATGTGGTTAACCCTCAAACACCCGAACTTATTTTGACGTTAATGCCCAAACGGGGTCCAAATGGACCCCATTTGGTTTCTTTTTAAATTTATGTTCCTTTTTGCATCCTTTCAGTAACCTTTGCATATATATTGGTTAAACATATTAAGACTTTTATTTTGGCATGGTTAATTGTTAAAAATTCCAGCTCATTATCATAATTTATGCAAAAAATATAATGAGGCCTGCAGGCATGAACATGGGGTTGACCGTTGACCGCATATGGTTGTCAAATTGTCAAACCTCTGAAAGCAACATGAAATAATTCAAATAGCACATAAAAATATACGTCTCGGGTCCAAATGGACCCCGTTTGGGTGTTTGAGGGTTAAAGATCCATGTCGGCCATGACACGGTTTTGCCAAAAATGCACAAAAAAAACGTACGACGAACATGGCTGCACCTTCCTTGCAAAAAAAAAACAAGAAAGGTGTAAAAAATACACCTAGGCGACGAATTGTATATTATGTAAATTAGGGTATTATCAATTTAATTTATTTTTATTATATGTACGAATTGGAATACTTCACTTCATAAGCTACATGTACATATATGTGCCTGGTTATCTACATGTCGGCAATCGACCAATATCGGGGCCCATTCTTAGCTCGGTGTTTGTTGCTATTGTTTAGATTTAATTCCAATCTTTTATAAATATTTTTAAAGGGATATCTTATGTTTTACAAACATTTCAAACTTGTTCTTAACTTCTTAAGAAATTTCCGTAAATTACAAAACTTTCGAAATATTTTTGAGTCCGCGAACGATATTTCCAATGATTTTTAAAGAAAGGCAACTCGGTTCTACCATTTTTTTTAAATTTTTGTAAATGACCCGTGACGAAGTAATTTGCACATCAACACGAAGTGTTCTGTGAGCCAAAAATAGGAATCGTTGATGAACCCTGCGGCGATCCTGCCGTCGGCGACACTCGACACGATAGCGGCCAGCCATTGATACTGAAAAACAGTGCCAAACCGTACGCTGCTTTTAATAAATCTCAAGCTCTAGTGAAACATCAAATCCTTTCTGTTGTACCATGGTTGTACAGTCCATCCATATTTCTTGAGATAAAAAAATAGGTACCCATTCACAAAAACGCCTGTAAATTCAAGGATCTTTCTCGCACAGTATTACGTAGATCTATTACACGGCGCCGAAACATGTCAAAATACACTCCGTCTTCCCTCTCGTCAAAACGCCGTCCGTGCAAGTCATGTGTGCTTCCAAATAAGTCCGCGGAAACCGCTGGCATATTGCCGGTAGCTCGGGCGATCGCGATCTTCGGTCTGCATCGGCGCGTGTGACGTCATGATCGGGCTCATTTGTATGCAGGCGTCTGCCTTTTGACTACATGGACTACAAAGGACGCCACCGGAGGGCGTAAACCCAGATGCCGCGGGTGAAACTGCACATCAAGTAAATACGAAGTTTGACTGTTAAAAAAAAGGAAATTAAAATTAAGATCTCAGTTGATTGCCACTTTCTAAATTTTTGCAAATTATGACATTTTCGAAAACATGCTACTCAAGTACGTACATTTTTATAATAATTTCAGAATATTTATAATATTTTCAAAAATAAAAACATTGAGAAAATATTAAAGGTATTATTTTAAAAAACACGCGGTGACTTGGAATGGACTCTATAAGAGCGCACGTACAGCACATGAATCCAGATAAAATCTATCAAAAGTTGTAAGACATAAAAGGACATACTACTTGTGATGAAAGCTCCTTGTATAAAGTCAGTTGGAACAAAGATCACTGGATACCGGTACGGTGATCATTATCTAGTCTACCGAAGCGATCCTTTTCTCCACCGCTGCAAATTTTACATGCCCGGTCAAGCGGTCGTTGACCTTATATAAGATCATATAATAGAAAGCAGGACAATATAGTTTACGTGCGCTCTGGACTCTGGATCGATACGCAAAAACCATATGTATATCATATACATTATCATTATGTGCATAACATAGCATGCTCTGTCGCTGTGTGTATATTCTGTAAGGGTAGGAATAGGCTATCAAACCCAAACCTTTTCGCAGGTACGGGATTGTCAGAAAAATGTTTATGAAAGGCGGTATGAACCCCCAATGCTGCAGATATAGGCCTGGCGTGCTTGTAGGTGCTTGTATTATATCCTGGATGCTGTCCGTGTGCTGGTTCGCAAACAGGCCACGGTCACGAGGTCTGGTTTATAGATGTGTTGTCCGCCACACACGTTTGCGGGGACACCAACATGCATCCAAGGTTGATAAATAAATAAATAGAGTGACCACAGATACACTCGCCAGAAACGTACAGAACGACCTTATAGAGGTAAAGTTGATCCGCGAAGATCAGGCGGTTCCACAAGTGTCATCTGTTGTTGTTCTGTCGAATTGAACGTGTTGCGGTGCGTAGATAAGAGCGCTCCTTGGTGACATTCGTTGTTTCTGATTCCGAATGCAGAAATGTACGTATATCCAGATACTAATATTTGCTATACACTTGATCTGGCCTGTCGTTCACAATTGACTTTTTCAGTGACTATGTCTTTACATAGCCTCTACCAGACTCACAACGCTGGCTATTTATAGTAGAATATTTGCCAGGAGAGTTTGACCGCCTTGTAGGACCTTGTAGGTTTGACTGGCCTTCGGAGGGAAAGATTTAAGGGGGTCATTTAACTACCTCCTCGCGGCCGGACTCCCTTGGCCAATTCTAATCTTTTTTTTCCCCGATCTTTCTACGATCCGTATTCCCGTAGAAAGGTCTGGTGGAGGCTAGTTTTTATATGCCTCAAATCGCCGCGTCACAATGTAACGTTGGATGCACTTTTGTCCGTTTCTGTGGGCACATATTTTTCTTTGTAGCGGTTTTAGGACAAACAGTAAAAGGAAACACAACAGAAGAAGAATAAAGACACACATTATTTTTATAATCTTCCATGGGTATCATCGTTATACTAAATAAATGGAACCCGTCATTTCTTTTCGGCAGCGTTTTGGAATTTGAAAAGGCTTGCGCTGTGGACATGTGCTCATGTTGGTAATATAAGGGGCTTTACGTTTCACTGGTTTCGGGGAAGGTTTCTGTTTGTTTACACCGCCGCTACAACAACAAGCTTGACCCCTTTCGCACCATCCCATACAGTGACCCTGGCCAGATGGCCGGAGGTTGCCTCGCACAAGTTGTTGTGGTCAGCAGAAATGTAGTTAGATAATCGTATTCATTGTCTTGGCCAATCAGGCGTAATTGTCTTACAATTAGCAATATTTAATCCCTCCCAGATATTCCAAACATGGACAGAGCTGGCAAAACATGTTAATAAGGATGTGTCCTCGTATAAATATCACCGCGACCTACTTGCAGACTCATTACGCACGGAAAAAAACCCCACGTCCATCGGCGGCGTGACCCCACGACCAGGCCGCGGGACGTGGAGCGCGGGTAGCCCGGCCAATCTGGAGCAGCGCACGGGCCAACAGCGCGCGGGCGTGGAAAGCGGGTGTCCCGCGGCCCGGTCAACCCTTGCCGGAGCAGCGCGCACACTTGGAAGGCCCCCGGATTTTAGTCGTGCAGGCACGGAGGTAAGCCCAAACTTGAGTAGGTTGAGACTGTTCTTTTAATATTGGAACTATGCCATATGTAGTGTGTATTTGTGTCCACGGTCTTGGTTCATGTTGCCTTCTTACGTGTACCATCAAACGGTGTATTATTTTGGTTTAAAGTTTTTTTGGGTAATGTTATGATTTTTTTGTGTGCATGTAACATGTAAGTTGTTCCATTTCGATCAGTCCGTTTTTCTATGCAGTCGTTCAGGCTAGGTGACATTGTCTCTGAGCGGCCCCACGTTCTGCTCGGGTAGCGTCTCTTATTTTGAAATTTAAAGAATCGTTGTTCTCACCGGCGTCCTGACGGTTCTGATACCGCTTCGTCCAAATGTTTTCCTTCGCTGTCAATCGTTGTTGTAAAGCTTGCGTAAATAACTCATTAATTTCGTTTCTACACTATGATAACCCTTTATACTATTCTAAATGACGTACCCACTAAACTTAGCCTGTTGCGATTCTCTGGCTTAAAGTAGGTGTTGCCCCCAGCTTCTGACAACAGTGATTTTCCCCACAGTTCCCGACAAGTCAACGTGAAAATTTCTAGTGGTTTGGGGGAAATTGGGTCACAGAGTAAAGATGAAAACATTCGCCTTTACATTTGTTGAGGATGTAGAACTGGTTTCTTAAGATTATACAAGAAGAAGCGCAGGCGGGCGTCCATGACCGTAGATATACCGGGGAGGCTACGTATATACGGTGCTAGGGCGAATAATCGTTCCGTTGTATTTACAATCAGTTCCTTGACTCTGCTTCATACGTTTTGAGACTGACAGTTCATCGTTTTCAGAAAAATCCGCGCCTTGTACCGTCACATTCATGTATGCCCTGCTATCACCATGGTACATCGCGTGGATCATTTCATTTCCCAACAGCCACAACTATCAACTTTAAAACAATCATTTTAAAAACTTTGCTTTGACTGATGTTGTGGTTTGAGTAAACAAGGAAGCGATTCGAATCTGCTGTCTCGGCGGGGTTGATTGGACGGGGTGAGAGTATAGAAGAAAATTCGCCCTTTGTCTGTACAATAATTATATACTAGAATAGGGTACTTGCTCATTAAATCTTTTGGAACTTTCCCTACTTTTGCTTTTTGTCGGCTTATAATATCAGCGGTTATAGGAAAGGTGAGTTCGCTATAATTAGAAATGCATAATGCGGATTCGATGGCCAGTAAGCGGTAAACCATACGGGTCTGTTGGTTACATCATCGTACGATATTAAGAAAGTACGTGGCTATTGACACACCCGTTGTGGATATAAAATATTTCTCTTTCCTTATTGACACACCCGGTGTGGATAGGAATTTTTTCTCTTTATCGATTCACTTGGTGTGGATATAAAAAATTATGTTCTTATTGACACACCCGACGTGGATGTATTTTTTGTTTATTGACAATCCGGTGTGGATACATCCTAACCCTAACCCTTAATGATTGATGCACTTAAACTTTGCTGCTCTGTACGCATGTCTTCTTCCGCGGTCACGCTGAACGCTGTCGAACTATGCAGAATAACGCAACCCTAGAATATAGCAAACTTCGTTAACCTGTTCTACACTGTTTCTTTCAGCTCTACATGACGACAAACACAAAAGTTACTCAAGAATACAAGACAGAAGAAGTGGAACAAAATACCAGGTGAGTGCCCAACCATCCTTATTATACGCAATATTGTAAATAATCACGATAGTTAGGCAATGTTCGCATCTCTATAGTACTTCTTTCACGATAAGCTGTGTGAGTTTTGAAAAGTACCATGCTTTCGAATTCTATGATTAATGATTGCTGGGAAAACAATGTAGCCTGGGTACCAGGCCCCCGTGCCATGATTCAGTTAAATTACATGATAGGACTACTAAAGCATGTGGCATATGTAATTGCGAACGAGAAAAACACAGGCAGATATTATGTAAATTAAGATTTAATTTGCATAATTAATGAGAAATTCAGCAATGTTAAAAAACTGTTAATTTCGTTCTACAGATCTCGCCTAAATGACACATTTTCAACCGACAACTTATGCACCTGGACCACTACCTGTCGTTGCCATAATTGTTTAGTGATTTGATTACTCTTTTTAATTGTTGCTTGTTTGTTTGTTTGTTTGTTTGTTTGTTTGTTTTGTGTCTATGTTTCTAGAGGAGTCGGCCTAGTAGAGGAACTCTATGTTCCTGTTGCCGGCTCCTCTCAGAATTTTAATTTCTGTGAAGTTGATTAAATAAATAAAATAAATGTTGTAATTCAGCAATGGTAACTGCCTGGAATTTCATACCTAGGGCATTTGAAAGTTAGGTGAAGGTAAACATCATTAAATCACATAACTTATTCAAATATGGACCTCATTTGCTTTTCTCTTTTTGTGTCCACAGGTAAATTTCGCCATGTCTCACCCTGAGATGCAGACTGCAGCAGGGATTCACTGGCAAGCACGAAGCCCAGTCAAGGAAGGATCGGGGTGTGCATTCATGTTTTGCACGCAAGAAGATTGAAAAACAAGCATTGAATGCAGCAGCATCGTGAAAGCAAAGAAAAAATATGAATAAAAAAAGGCAAGACTGACACAAACACGACATAGGTGGAAAACACACAAAACATACATCATTAGCACACAGTTAAGTTATAAATAAAAGCCCAGCATCATATGGTTGAAACTAAAAACTTACTTAAAACATTATTCTTTTAAGCTTGAATATGCTGCTCCTTGTTCTTTCTTATGAGCAACAAAATTATTCTGTTTTATTTTATTCTATTTTTTCTCTCTTGATAGAAGAGAACATATTTGAAATATCAATAAAGACAATCATTAATATTCTGTGTGCAAAAAGCCACAGTTGGCCGGAAAAGGTGCCTTTTGCATGCATGGTAACATAGGCCTTTCCTACTTATAAAGTATCCAGTTATCGACTGACAACTAAGCCATTAAACTTTACACAAAAGACTTCTGCAAAAGATCAACCATCACTTTAGATATCCCTACTTGCTGTGTACAAACACAGAGTCATTCAAACAAGTAATTCCCTAGGGAATGCATTGACGGAATTTTTAGAATATTTTCAACTCGATCGCAGTACTATACTAACGGCTCCGCCCCTGAGGCGTCGCCAAAAAAATTACCACAGTTCTGTTCGTCACTGTTGTCCCGGCAGTCTTTCTGTTGGTTACATCGCTGCCAGCTTGTGATGTATCCCTCCGCGTTAAAACAGGCGAACTGACCGAGTTTAAAGTCCAGCACCACTGAAATATTAGCAAATAGATTCTACAATAACTTCTTTAATACTTGTTGGGTTCGTATATATCAAAGAATAAATAATGAAAAAGTGATGTAATGATCAATGTTGGCAGGACCTGTATAACCAAACAGCCGGCAAATTTTATATAAATACCTAAAGCAATATACATGTACCATTCAGATGTTGCGTGTGTAAATATATTTACGCTATGTTGGTTAAATGGATGCACACGTCAAAATGTATAGAACAGATAATGATAATGAGTGCAACCGTTTTATGTTTTGAATAGAAAAAAGTCAATATGAATTAGAAATTAAGGTTACGAAACAAATTACGGGTCGTTCAATTGAAGTAATTTTATAAAAAAAACAATTGACAAACGGAAAATTATTGCAACTGAAAAACATATTGTCCATGCGTTCACAGCCGTTTTTACATTTCTCAACTCGAGCATACTAAACTTCAGAGCAGTTTAGTAAAATAGTTTTTGTCTCTTTTAAGCATCCCCATTAAATAAAATAAAACCATATGCTACTTTGTTGTTGTTGTTGTCATTATTGCTACCAGTAGATTGTAGCCGCTTGTATTTACAAGAACTCAAATGTAAGTTTATGCATCCGTAAACTAAATACTTAAATTATTTTGGTTTGTAACAACCAACCTGGGCAGTGCGACTTTCAACAACGTTATATTTCACCAACCGAGAATAAACTGTAACAAATTTGTGTCAATGGACACCATAGATATAGTTATATGCACCTTTGTTTATCTGCTTGAAAGTAACATTGAACCCTTGAAATGACTCTTGTTCATCAGTCTGGAATGTTAGTGTCATCACGTTACCGGTGGACCGCTGAGGCGCGGGTAACTCTGATCCACAAAACGTTCCTGAAATATTCAGCATGTGTAAAAAGGGTTACTACGCCGTAATGTAAAACTTGTCGTAAAATGGTATACATGGTATACATTGTTTTTCTTGCCAATCTTCCTTATTTACACGCGTGCAGTCCGTTTTGAAGTAAGTATTTATTCATTTATTTATTTATTAAATTTTACTACGTACAATATGCACTGTGGATGGCATGGCGAAACAGGGGTTTCTGACATGAAACACCTTTTCAAAGCCGCCATACCAAGTGTGTAAGTAAGTATGATGGAAGTATGGAATAAGAATTTTGTGACGCATACCAAGCAGGTCCCCCTTTACCGCGAATTCCCCGTCATAAACGGACAGACTGTCGTACCGACAGACTCCGTAGGTGGCGCCCTCGAGATGAAACTCCGTAAACTCGAGCAGGATGACCTTGGCCGGGTCAACCGCCCGAATGGTCCAGTTGTGTCTCAGGTTATCTGTACAGGTAAAATGTGGATGTATATTATATATGGCATAAAATGAGACTGTCACTAAACTGACTCGAGTTGTAAATTCTTGGGTTACGTATCTAATAGGATATAAAACATGTCGACCGAGGAATTTTATTAAAGGTTGTGTTGTATTTACATTTTTTTATTTCCTCACCATACTTACCAGGGTAGTAGTTTGGATATGAAGGACTCGTGAATTCTCCCAGCTCTCCTACAAGCTCAGTGCCTGATGTGAACAGTTCTGTGCACACGGTCCCATCCCCTGTAAACCCCTGGCGACAGGAACATTCAAATCCCACGTACTTGTCACTGCAGATGGCGTTTCGATCACAGTTATGAGTTCCGATTTGACACTCATTGTCTCCCGCTATGAGAGCTAACGTGAAACAAAAATGATATCCATGTACACACGTTGTCAGAAAACAAACTTATGTGGATATTTATTAGGTTCTTTTATATTTATTTTTAGGTGGAAATTAGCAGGTTCTTCGGATACAGACATAGGGATCGCCATGCGAGAGTTTTTTTTTCTCTATTTTTCTATCTTGATTGTTATGATTATGATTTGAGTAATATGTTTTCAGAGCGCTGGACTCGGAACCGAGAGGTCCCGGGTTCGATACTCACCGTGGCCCGACGTTGTGACCTTGGGAAAGGCACTTTACACGACTTCCCCACCTATACGGCGGAGTGACGCCCACTGAGCCTCTTAGGCTAATCTGTCTGTCAGGGTGCCAAAAACACCTTACGGATTTGGTGCGCCGATGTGACAACATCTCATATCTGCCACTGAGAGCCGTAATTTTTTTAAAATATGTTTTCATTGGGCAGAGATACAAGAACTAATCTCCAAGTAGATCATACAGTGGGAAGGCAGTATCAATTTGCTAGAGCACTGTCCAGTAGCCGATGGATACTGCCTAATGCTACAGTATGATCTGCTTGGGGATTAGCTGTTCTCCACCGATTCCACAGATGCGTGCAATGAGAAAACATTTGCTGGGTGTCAATCCCTATCTTATCTTTAGGTCTATTGAGTTCTTTTACAAGTAGTTCTTTTACGGTTCTTTTTTAGCATGAGACTTCCATATACGTGGCCACAGCCTGAATGCCCTATTAGTCGTGAAGAACGATCTCACATGAAGCTAAAATGCCCGATCTGATCAATGCATAATATGACAGCTGACATGTCACTCACCGGGCGGGCCAAATATGACAGAACTGGGGTCCACCGGCTCGGTGCCGAAGTTGCCACCACTTGTGCTGCTTGAGATCAGAGCCTCAGCCTCAGGAATGGCCTCTGTTGTCATGTTGAGTTGAGAAACAGCAATGACGCTACCAGGTCTGCAGGGGAAATAAAACGTCAAGTGCAGGACTAAACTGCATCTGTTTAGCCCTTCCCCGAAACAGTTCACTCTATCACACAATTTTAAAACCCAAACCAAGCTAAGTCGAAAGTCTGTCACCAGATGAAACACTGCCAGTAAGAGTAAATTACACCACTCGCACTATACTGTACGCTAATATCTAATTAAGGTGAGGATGGAAGTACCAAACAAAAAAGAGAAGAGTGCATTGTTTACATACACATTTAAATGACTAAAGATGGATTGTTTAAAACTGTTGGGGTTTGAACTTATCTCGTGCAAAGCAATTAAAACTTTATAACTTTTACTTCCAAAAACCGTAGCGGACATGTACATGTACACCGTGTTTCGTAGATAAAACAAACCTACTTTAACGCTAAGACTGAAATGTCACCGATGCTGTCTTGTATCTCTGCTGTGATTTTTCTCAACTGGAAAAGAAAACACAACGTCGTACGTTTTTTCTAATAAGCACGTGAAAAACAATTGCTTTAGGTACAGATCCTTCCAGCAGATACTACTGACCATATAGTATAGTCTTGTACTGTATTGTAACTTACTTATCTTATACAATGTATAGAATGTATAATTTATGAAAATGAATCTTCGTTATAGTCATGGTAACTGCATCTTACTGTGTCAATGGTATAGTTTGTGATCTCTTCCCGCAGTTGTGGGTTGGAGAAAACTGCAGTCCATCTTGGGTTATTCAGTAGAAAGGCAAGATAGAGACTAACGCCTTCTGTTGGTGTAGACAATACACAAGAATGTGACCTGAGAAAACCTCATTCAGTCACACGAGATACAAGGTATATAAAGTTTAAGAAAAGCATGAACATAAGCCATTCTGAAGTACAGTATTGTTTACAGATGCGCTGAAATTTAAGTACACTATTTTAATGCGGTAACTGGTGTGCTACTATACTATATTTTAGCCTGCTCTTGCTGCTTTGCAGATGGTGCGTCGCTCTCAGACTAAACTTAGGTTTTATCAATAGTTCAAACTGCCCAAGATATAATTAGTTGGTCATAATCATACCACAATAGAATTTAATATAATAATAATAGTTTATAACCAATTATCCCACCTGTGCAGTTAAAACCGTCCCCTATATGCCCCGGTTTACATTGACAAAGAAAGGACCCGTCACTGTTAGTGCATTTGGCGTTTCTATCACACGGTGAGTCAATTGTACATTCGTTAATGTCTGCAAGAACAAAAAGAAAAAAAAGAATAGACCGGACTTAACCCTAAACAGTACAACCTGGGGTCCGCGCGGACCCAGCACTATATATTCTGTAATATCTTTTTTGTTTCTAAAATTTTTTTCTGAAATTTTAGGTAATTGTCACCCACAAAGTTGTCTCTCAATACAGTGAAGAAAACTCCGTTTCTACCATTTATAAAAAAAATTATATCTAATTGTCTTTTGGGGTCCGCGAGGACCCCAGCCGGCTTTCGATCATAATGGATACACTGGCGTTCTTATACATTACCTTATTTCCGTTTTTATATGTTTTTATGCACTCATCGTATGTCTACCAAGTTTTCAGAGAAAAGTGTAGTAATAGAAATAAATTTTGATAACTTTGGTGTAATTATGACGTCATATGACGTCAGAGCTAATAATATGGTCGACCATATTGGATTTTGACCAATGACGTCATCAAATTAGCATATTCTATGCATATTAAATGATTTAACTTATATTTAATTATGTAAGATGTTATTAATGTTGGAAAAGAAGTGTAATTTAATATAAAACTCAGAAACCAAAATTACTTCTATTTTCAAAAAAACTGCCTGCTAGAAACAAAAAAACATCAACTTACTAGAATTAAACTAATATGAACTTTTTTCCAGAGACATTTTAGGAAAGGTCTCCAAATTTGATACTTCTAGCGCAAGCCGTTTAGCCGCTATCTGAGATCAAAGTTGGGCCTCAAAAGCCCCTTCAGTCTGAAATGGGTTTAAAAATCGGGTATTTCTTCTTGTCTTCTTTTCTTCACAAAAAAATAGAAAAAGTTCAAAATGTATGATTTTTGTATGTAATGTGGACACAAACGTTCCCACATCAGTTTGCAAAACAATTGAGCTGGTAGCATGTTGATAATTTCTAAAAATTAGCAAAAAACTGTTCTGGGGTCCGCGCGGACCCCAGGTGTACAGATTAATCAGTCCGAGAAGGTGTACTGTTGAGGGTTAAATGACGAAGATTTAGTTTTTTCACAGTACCCACATTTGCTTCCTTACAGTTGACGGTGGTTGGTCCGACTGGGGCCCATGGTCTGTCTGTAGTGTGACGTGTGGAGTCGGGACGGAGACTCGGGACAGAACTTGCACCAACCCTGCACCAGCGAACGGAGGGGCAGACTGTGACGGACCTGCTCAGGAGACACAGGCATGTGACACGGGGGTGCCGTGTCCAGGTAAGTCGAAGTTATATCGAGACAGCTGTATCTTTATCGCAACTCCCTAAGAAAAGTATAATTGAAAGAATTGGCAACGTTTTTACTTTCAACACAGCATAGGTATCAGATTTTAAACCCAAAGGCAGTTAATTTCCTTTAGAATGCCTTTTTTACAGTGCGAGAATTCAGCCATTGGTTTCTGCAGTACTCCAATGAGTGACCAAGATTTATTATTTTTTTTCACAATACCCACATTTGCTTCCTTACAGTTGACGGTGGTTGGTCCGACTGGGGCCCATGGTCTGGCTGTAGCGTGACGTGTGGAGTCGGGACGGAGACTCGGGACAGAACCTGCACCAACCCTGCACCAGAGAACGGAGGGGCAGACTGTGACGGACCTGCTCAGGAGACACAGGCCTGTGACACGGGGGTGTCGTGTCCAGGTAATTCGAAGTTAGACTGCTGTAGCTGTATATTCAATGTATTCCCCCTAAGTAAAATATGATGGAAATAAATAAGACAGCAAGATACAATTAATTCTACTGTTTTTCCTCTATACCAAAAATACAACCAGCGATGTCTATAGTACTCCTAGCGAAGTTTTTTTTTTCCTGAATACTTTTAATCTTATTCTGTCTCCATACAGTTGACGGTGGTTGGTCCGCCTGGGGCCCATGGTCTGGCTGCAGCGTAACGTGTGGAGTCGGGACGGAGACCCGGGACAGAACCTGCACCAACCCTGCACCAGAGAACGGTGGGGCAGACTGTGACGGACCTGCTCAGGAGACACAGGCCTGTGACACGGGGCTGTCTTGTCCAGGTAACTCAAATTTATACCGAGACATCTGTATCTTTATCGCAACTCTCTATTAGTAGTAAGCAAAGTATGATTGAAAGAATTGGCAACGTTTTGCACTTCCAACACAGCAGAGATGTCTGATTTTGAACCCAAAGGCAGTTATTTTCCTTTAGAATGCCTTTTGTATTGTAAAAGAATTCAACCATTAGTGTCTACAGTGCTTGTTTAACCCTAAACAGTACACCTGGGGTCCGCGCGGACCCCAGCACTATATATTCTGTAATATCTTTTTTGTTTCTAAAGATTTTTTTCTGAACTTTAAGGTAATTGTCACCCACAAAGTTGTCTCTCAATACAGTGCAGAAAACTCCGTTTCTACCATTTATAAAAAAAATTATATCTGATTTTCTTTTGGGGCCCGCGCGGACCCCAGCCGGCTTTCGATCATAATGGATACACTGGCGTTCTCTTCTTCGCAAGCTCCGAAGAGAACTATGTTTCCCGTCCATTTCACAGACAAACACACACAATTAGGGTAGTGAGCTCACCGTCACGTGTGACCGTACAGAGAAAGGTTGAGCCACGAATGACCCTTACGAGGGTTAGGGAGGAAGGGTCAGAGGGTAAAGGGGCGGAATAATTAGTATCAGGGTAGGGGTCACGTGATTGTCTGTTCAGCCGACGGGAAACGAGATTTCTTATACATTACCTTATTTCCGTTTTTATATTTTTTATGCACTCATCGTATGTATACCAAGTTTTCAGAGAATGGTGTAGTAATAGAATTACATTTCAATAACTTTGGTGTAATTATGACGTCATATGACGTCAGAGCTAATAATATAGTCCGCCATATTGGATTTTGACCAATGACGTCTTCAAATTGGCATATTCTATTCATATTAAATGACTTAACTTATATTTAATTATGTAAGATGTTATTAATGTTGGAAAAGAAGTGTAATTTAATATAAAACTCAGAAAATTTCTATGTTTATACCAAAATTACTTCTATTTTCAAAAAAACTGACTGCTAAAACCCCGTTGCCATGGCAACGCAAAAAAACATCAACTTACTAGTATTAAACTAATATGAACTTTTTTCCAGAGAGATTTTAGGATAGGTCTCCAAATTTGATACTTCTAGCGCAAGCCGTTTAGCCGCTATCTGAGATCAAAGTTGGGCCTCAAAAGCCCCTTCAGTCTGAAATGGGTTTAAAAATCGGGTATTTCTTCTTGTCTTCTTTTCTTCACCAAAAAATAGAAAAAGTTCAAAATGTATGATTTTTGTATGTAATGTGGACGCAGAGGTTCCCACATCAGTTTGCAAAACAATTGAGCTGGTAGCATGTTGATAATTTCTAAAAATTAGCAAAAAACTGTTCTGGGGTCCGCGCGGACCCCAGGTGTACAGATTAATCAGTCCGGGAAGGTGTACTGTTGAGGGTTAAGGACATATTTATTAATTTCAGTTTTTGTGCCTTTAAACCCAAACTCCCATTTGCAAAAGGTGACCTATTCCACCATGAGGCTGCCGTGACGCCATATGTTCTCTTAATCTAATTTACTCTATAGCATATGTATGTCCTTCGGATAAGATATGACGAACGTCGTGATTGTAACTGTACTCGGCTAACTACTACAAACTACAATTTTCACCACCACAATACCAGACAGACGTCTAAATTGTACTTACCTCTCTTCAAAACCACTGCAGGGCAACACTCAATCGCATTCCGTGTGGTACACTGTTATAACTAACTTCCACAAAATATCATGCAACAGACTTCATTGAAATGTTTTAAAGCTGCTCTTAAGAACATACAATCTTTACAGTTTGATATATGACCTCTGACCTCCACATGAATAACCTACCTTGACTGATCAATGGCTTTTGAGTAACGGACAACGATTTTGATTTGTTCTCTACGGTTTTGTTCGAGATTCTAATGTAATATCATGTATTTATTTTGTATGATTTGGTTACCTGTGTTATTTATGTTTTACATACAATTCTCTGTTACTTCTGTTTAAGTAACTTATGTTTTATTATTTCTTTAAACTGGGCCCCACTGAAAATCAACTTGACAAAGCTGAGCAGGTGTGTGAAAATGAAATAAATAAAAATGAAAAAAAAAAAAATTGTAGAAGAACTGACATGCTAAAAACAGCCTACCGACTTCTCTCTCAGGTGATTATTCGTCCTCTGGCGTCTCTTTACCCTTTTCTTTCCTTGGAGATGTTATTTTGTGTACTAATGTTAGCAGAGTAGTGATTCCATAGCTAGTATGACGTCACCGCAGCCTACTGGTGGAATAGGAAGTCATCAAACGTCAACATGGATTTGAGTCAAATATTACCCCAATGTGTGCGGTATTGGTAGAGACCATGCAATGGATCATCTTTTGCAAATATTATTTGGGGTTTAAAGGCAGCAAAACTGATATATGATATATATAAAAGTATAACTAAACAATGACCTTATCCAGGGAAAATATACTTGATGTTAAAGTTAAGATATCTTTTAGTCTATTAAAATGCCTTACCTATGCATTCAAAGCCACTCTTTTCATATCCACTGTTGCACTCGCAGAGAAAGGACCCATCTGTGTTGATGCACCTGGCATTTACATCGCAGGGTGCGTCAGCTGAGAGTGTACACTCGTCGATGTCTGAAATAAATTACACAACTTTGAAAAATTACATAGTTGATACAAATCTTACTATTAAATATAATAATGCAAGTTTATTTCTTAAAAAAAACACTCTCAATAGCCAAGAAACTGTGTGATTACTTTTTAGGAATATCTGACTCATCTTACCTGTGCAAGTTGGAATAGGATTACTCCATGTTCCTTCAGCTTGGCATCTCGTATTAAAAGCACCAACCAGTAAGTATCCTGAATCACAGGTAAACGTAACCTTTTGCCCGTAAGAAATAACTCCGGTAGGATTCATAGCTCCGTTAGTTGGTGTAGTCAACGCCGGACACTGTCTGGCTAAAAAGTAGAGAAACATTTTTACTACAGTTAGGCCATGTTGATTTGATTATATGGATTACATCCGCGCGCGCATGAATTTTTGGCCGTTTCCAAAAAAAAAAGTTTTCAACCATAATGTAAATCGTACAAAACAGTTGCAAACTGAGGAAAAATACACCATAAGTTACAAAAAAAATTAATAAAAACTATACCAATGTCGTAGAATGCCAAAATCAAACGAAAAAAGACGAAATTGTAAAGAAATGAACTTGAAGACTAGATTATTCGCCAAACCATATTCTGTGCCATTTGCCCTCATGACCACGTAGCTTTCATAATGAAAGGAACTTTTTTTTAGCAAAACGTTTTTTTTTATTCGCACGCGCGCATCAGTTTTGGGGCTCCCGGAGGATGTCATCCATATAATCAAATCAACATGGCCTCAGTGCAACACATGCTTTCGTCAGGAGCAAGTATGATACCCTTTACACCAAGTCGGCCTTAGGCTGCAGCCTGAGTGCTGCCACGTTACACAAACAGAATATCGAGCCATAGACTTCTTGGTAAATTTCACTGAACCAGCTTTTTTTTCTTCCAAGACATCTGCCTGACTGCCAGATCATGTTCCAGGTGGACTTAGTACATTCCAATGCCAATGTGTGTCCCGGTTTCACGGACATGTTATCATCATGATCATGATCATGAGTGGTAGTCAGCAGCGGAATCGATACTATTTAACAGACACCTGCTCAACAGTCCCCAATTACATCAACAACAAAAAACGGCTGTTAGTAGAGGTCTAATTGCCAATATTATAAGCAGTCCCCTTCTCATGCCATCAACAATGTAGCGTAGGCGGTAGAAAAAATTTTGCTTGTAAGTGCTTGTGCATAATAGTCCGTTAGCTGGGGCTGTCAGAGTCTGACATTGTATTGCTAGAAAGGTAAATAAGCTTTTATCACTAAACTCTATTTCTATACAGAACATGCACAAATAATTGACAAACAATTGACCTCTTTTGCTACACGGCTTTTTTATGTTTTAGGTAAAGCAAGTTTAGTTAAGATAAGTTTCCTTCTAAAACACCTTTGACTACATAATGATTACAATGTCTGTACCGTTGGAGTCGTGAGACATTGCTAGTATATAAAATTAACTTTCAAAAGTCGTCTTACGTGTGCATGTTGGAACAGGATTACTCCATGTTCCGTCAGCTTGGCATATCGTATCAGCAGCACCGTTAAGTACGTATCCCGGGTTACAGGTGAAGGTGACCACGGTCTGGTAGGAGGTCGTTGTGGTACTGATCGCTCCGTTAGTTGGTGCCGTTAGGGTCGGGCATTGCATTGCTGAAAAGGCAATTAAACTTTTATTACTAAAATTTATTTCCATACAGAACATGCACAAAGAGACCTCTTTCTATACAGGGCTATTCTATGTTTTAGATACAGTAAACTTTTTTTAACTATCCTGTGAATGAAGTGTCTGTACCGATGAATTCGAGACATTGCTAACAACTTGCAAACCGTCTTACGTGTGCATGTTGGTACGGAATTACTCCATGTTCCGTTAGCTTGGCACATCGCATTAGCAGCGCCGTTCAGTACGTATCCCGTGTTACAGGTAAAGGTGACCACGTCCTGGTAGTCGATCGCCCCGGTGGGACTTAGCGTTCCGTTACTTGGAGGAGTCAACGTAAAGCATTGTCCGCCTGAAATGGTTTAACTTTATCTGTTAATTTAAGAACTTTTACAGACATGTGCACATGTAGGTTTTTAAAAATCTACACAACGGCACCAATATTCATCATCTACATGGCAAAGTGCTGTTACCTGTGTAAGGGAAGGCATAAATCTCTTTTTATTGCTAATGAAAATGATATAAATTGCGATTTTTCTTTCACAAATTTCTAACATTGATATCATTCAAAGCCATCTTACGTTCGTATTTTGGAATAGAATTGCTCCATGTCCCGTCAGCTTGGAACGTCAAAATACTGACACCGTTCGGTCGGTACCCTGTGTCAAACAGGTCTGATTTCGTGCTTATTTATTTAAAAAAAAGGTAATCTAAATAATGATAAACCTGTTGACGACGGTGCAGTCAGGGCGACAACTTCATAGAATAAAACTACCACAAAAACAGAAAACAGATGGTTAGTATTCTGTACTACCTGTTGATGATGGTGGATTCGTTGTTCCTGGAGCTGTTACAGATGTGTATCCTTCTCCAGATGGTGCTGTCATTTGCACAGCTGTAGTCGTTATTTCAGATGAGTATTCCTCTCCAGTAATAGTTGTGCTTGGTGCAGCTGTAGTCGTCGGTAAAGTTGTGTCTACTTCTTCAATAGTTGTGCTTGGTACAGCTGTAGTGGTCATTACAGTTGTGTATCCCTCTCCAGTAGTTGTGCTTGGTACAGCTGCAGTGGTCATTACAGTTGTGTCTCCTTCTCCAGTAGTTTTGCTTGGTCCAGCTGTAGTGGTCATTACAGTTGTGTCAACTTCTCCTGTAGTTGTGCTTGGTACATCAGTAGTGGTCATTACAGTTGTGTATCCCTCTCCAATAGTTGTGCTTGATACAGCTGTAGTGGTCATTGCAGCTGTGTATTTCTCTCCAGTAGTTGTGCTTGGTGCAGCTGTAGTGGTCATTGCAGTTGTGTATTTCTCTCTAGTAGTTGTGTTTGGTGCAGCTGCTGTCGTCATTACAGTCGTGTCTCCCTCTTCAGTAGTTGTGCTTGGTACAGCTGTAGTGTTCATTACAGTTGTGTGTCCTTCTCCAGTAGTTGTCCTTGGTATAGCTGTAGTGGTCATTACAGTTGTGTATTTCTCTCCAGTAGTTGTGCTTGGTGCAGCTGTAGTGGTCATTACAGTTGTGTATTCTTCTCCAGTAGTTGTGCTTGGTGCAGCAGTAAAGGTCATTACAGTTGTGTATCCCTCTCCAGTAGTTGTGCTTGGTATAGCTGTAGTGGTCATTAGAGTTGTGTATTTCTCTCCAGTAGTTGTGCTTGGTGCAGCTGTAGTGGTCATTACAGTTGTGTCTCTTTCTTCTGTAGTTGCACTTGGTACATCTGTAGTGGTCATTACAGTTGTGTCTCCTTCTCCTGTAGTTGTGTTTGGTGTAGCTGTAGTGGTCATCCCAGTTGTGTCTCCTTCTCTTTCTTCTGTAGTTGCACTTGGTACATCAGTAGTGGTCATTACAGTTGTGTCTCCTTCTCCAGTAGTTGCACTTGGTACAGCTGTACTGGTTATCACAGTTATGTCTCCTCCTCTTTCTTCTGTAGTTGTACTTGGTACAGCTGTACTGGTTATCACAGTTGTGTCTCCTCCTGTAGTTGTGCTTGGTGCAGCTGTAGTGGTCATTACAGTTGTGTGTCCTTCTTCTGTAGTTGCACTTGGAACAGCTGTAGTGGTAATTGCAGTTGTGTCTCCTCTTCTGAAGTTGTACTTGGTGCAGCTGTAGTGGTCATTACAGTTGTGTCTCCTCCTGTAGTTGTACTTGGTACAGCTGTAGTGGTCATTACAGTTGTGTCTCCTCCTGTAGTTGTGCTTGGTACAGCTGTAGTGGTCATTACAGTTGTGTCTCCTCTGTAGTTGTACTTGGTACAGCTGTAGTGGTCATTACAGTTGTGTCTCCTCCTGTAGTTGTGCTTGGTGCAGCTGTAGTGGTCATTACAGTTGTGTCTCCTTCTCCTGTAGTTGTGCTTGGTACAGCTGTAGTGGTCATTACAGTTGTGTCTCCTTCTCCTGTAGTTGTACTTGGTGCGAGCTGTAGTGGTCATTGCAGTTGTGTCTCCTTCTCCAGTAGTTGTACTTGGTGCAGCTGTAGTGGTCATTGCAGTTGTGTCTCCTTCTCCTGTAGTAGTGCTTGGTGCAGCTGTAGTTGTCATTACAGTTGTGTCTCCTTCTCCAGTAGTTGTGCTTGGTACAGCTGTAGTGGTCGTGACAGTTGTGTTTCCTTCTCCTGTAGTTGTGCTCGGTACAGCTGTAGTGGTCATTGCAGTTGTATATCCCACTCCAGTAGTTGTGTTTTGTACAGCTATGGTTATCATTATAGATGTGTCTCCCTGTCCCGATGTTGTGTTTGGTATAGCTGACGTCGTCTCTCTTCCAGATGTGTCTCTTTCTCCAGACTTTGTTGTGCTTGGTACAGCTGTGGTCGTCATTACAGATGTGTAGCCTTCTCCAGAAGTTGTGCTTGTTCCCTTCCCAGATAAATAAGTTGATTCTGATGACACTGATGAATTTTTTTTTGTAGTTGACAAAAGGGAATAATATGTTGTTGCTGGTTACGAAGGTGCATTTGTTGTTTCTGATGACAAAATATAAACATAGGTCTGTCAAATCGTATACAGTTTAAGGCTTAGCCCTAATCAACGATTAACTGTAATTTTGTTTAGAACTTGTTGTACAATTTGCAGCTAATTAGATTGGCACTTATTAGTTACGAGAATACTCATGTCTAATTGATTGAGAAGGGTTTTATTATTTTCCTGAACTTTTTGTAACGAATCCATGTTGAAAATTTAGTTCCCACTGTGCTCTAATTGACCTGAGACTTTAGATAACACTACAAGAACCGAGTTTACCATGAGGTTTTCACAAGTGCAATTTTGAAACGAACATGTAGCATTGCATAGTATAAACAGATCATTGTGAACCGTATGCAAATACAGAAACGCAAAAGTTTACTCCATTTGCCATGCATTAGCTCAAGATGCTAAAACACGATTGATTGAAAAATTTACGGATATATAACTTTTATAAAGTAGTAATTATAATATGCCCATGCATATTTTGTTCTTAAAATGATTTTAATGAGCTTTCCTGGTACATGGCATGATTTCACGATAACATATATGTATGAAACATTGATGCACTTACCTAGTGGAGGTGGGATCGTCTGTGAGACAGCTGTAAAAAGTGTATATATGTATAAGATACTTGTCAATGAAAAACCGTAGGTCTATCTTATCTATACGAGGTATGTCGAAGTTGTACGAAGTTAGAAACTAGAGTTCCACGATCTCATGCCTTCGCCAAATGACTTTCTTATAACAAGTATACATTAACCCCCCTGCAAATAGGATCCTCAATAGCATGAATTATATCTGTTGACCATATTCTACACCAAAATACAGTCTCGTCTTAAAAAAGAATGCCATTATAGCATTTCCTCATAGATTATGCAAATGATACCCTTATTCGAATAAGTTATGTTTAATTATGTTCACATTAACTTAACTTTCAAATGCTCCAAGTATGAAATCCCAGGCAGTTAACACTATGGAATTATAACATTTTCTTATTAATTATGCAAATTAAGGCGTCATTTGCATAATCGATATATGCCTCTCGTTCTTAATTACATATGTCACAAGCTTGACATATGTCACATAGCCCTATCATTGAATGCAGGTGATTTATAGAATTTCCTCATTTATTATGCAAATCACATCCATATTTGCATAATTGTAATATCGTTATGTTAAGCATCACTTAAGCTACCTATATACCAAAAATCACGACGATCCACCAATCGGTTCTTGAGTTATCCTCCTTTAAACATTTTTCAACAAACGCCCCTGCAGTTTCAGAGGAAGCAGCCAGGGGGCTCAAACTCATGTCACTTCATCTCCAACACAAGAGCTATAATCCATGTAAATTCTGTGATCCTAGCATGCCTTGATCATGAGATATCAAAACCGGAAGTTCTGCTGCGGTACCATAACAAGCCGCCAGGGGGCCCTAAATCTAATCAGTTCCAGGTTTAATCAAGACCTACCCACCTACCAAATATCAAGACAATCCATCCAGGCGTTCTTGAGTTATCGTGCTCACACACACACACACACACAGACACACACACAGACACACGAACGCCCCTGAAAACATAACCTTCTCGGCGAAGGTAACGACTGGGGCTAACTTCGTACAGAGGGCGGGGGTCAGGGTACGAAGTAAGAGGTTGTACGAAATTAGAAATGACAGACGCTAACTTCGTACAGACTGCTGGTTCCTGAGGAAAGTTTTCACATTTGAATTCTACATGTAGGTTCCAGATGGCGTGATGATGTGTCAGTCCACATCCTCACACCTTTTCCCTCACACCTTGTTGATCAAACCGCCAGGGTAAACGTTTTGAATTACAAATGACACTGTTTATGTAACATATTCCAGGGTAAGAATTATAAGAGACACCTCTTAAGGAACACATTCTACAGTTCGAATTACAAGTTACACACGTTGTAAACATATTAATTGCACATTAACCGGACAGCTCGAATCAAAACAAACACGAATTTAGAGCTTTCATACCTCCATCAAATTTGTAGAGTTTATGTAAATATTTTCGGGGGATTAGTCTCATTCAACAATAAGATCATAATTGCTATAATCTAGTTAAATTTATGGGTTTCTAGACTCAAATTATAAAATTTTGCTTGTGAAATTCCTATCTTTTTGCGATATTTTAAGTCACTATGTCCTTAATGTGCATACTAATGCATATTAATCTTAATCTTTAAGTAACTTACACATGTGACAAGGTATAAAATTCCCATCATTTACTTTTAAGAAATCGCAGAATTTTCAAATTAATTCTGCAGTTTTGGTAATTATTTGCATAATTGGTAATCTGTTGATGTTCCACCTGCCGTAGATTACATACATTACATGTATGAAAGTACTATGGTAAACACTGTAATAACAGAATCTGTCTTTAATCATGCAGATTAAGTTTTCATTTGCATAATTTGCATTTGATTATGTACATCTATCTATAAGCAGCCTACATACCAAAAATGATGAAAATACGTTATTTCTTTTTGGACTTATCCGTTTTCAAAGGTTTCACCAGAAACTTCCATGTAGTACTATAACAAGCTGCTAGGGGGACAAAACCCACACAATTTATTTCAGACAGTAAAAGCTGCCTGTCACTAAAAATCCGAGACCATAGCATGTTCAGGACAAAATATATAAAAAACCGAAGTTTTGCTGCTGTACCAGGGTCAGCCAACAGGAGGCCCAAATTTGACCTTGACCATTGTCTTCCTAGGAACTACCAACATATCGAAGGTCATCACAATCCATTGGCGTTCTGAAGTTATGCTGACTACAAATGTGCGGTAACACAAATACACAGATACAGACAGACAGATAGACACACACAGACACACACACACACACACACACGCAGACACACACACACACACACGACAAAATCAATACCTCCATTTTTCATGAAGGTAAAAACTAACAAGCTGGTGTCATCTTCGCTGTCAGCTTTAGTAGAAGTTATGTTAAAGGATATATTTGATAGCGTCGCTACGCTTTAGATTTGATTTCAACAGGAACACGTAATGCCTATACAGTAATGCCTTGATCTGCACAAGAAATGCTGTTCATCCCTTACGCCATAACTTCACACAACTTCGCACATCGTAAACCAGCCCCTGCCCTCTGTACGAAGTTAGCTTAGATCACGTCACCATTTCCTACGTCATAACTTCGCGACAGGCCTGGCCTGATCGAATTTAGCTTAGGCAACGTCACAATCTCTTACGTCATAACTTGTACAACTTTCTACTACGTTCACGAGCCCCGCTCTCTGTACAAAGTTAGCCTATATATAGCTAGGCCTCGTCATAATCCCTTACGTCATAACTTGTACAACTTCGTACTTCGTTCACGAGCCCCGCCCTCTGTACGAAGTTAGTCTATATATAGCTAGGTCCATAATCCCTTACGTCATAACTTCGTACAACTTCGTACTTCGTTCACGAGCCCTGCCCTCTGTACGAAGTTAGTCTATATATAGCCAGGCCTCGTCATAATCCCTTACGTCATACCTTGTACAACTTCGTACTTCGTTCACGAGCCCTGCCCTCTGTACGAAGTTATTCTATATATAGCTAGGCCCATAATCCTTACGTCATAACTTCGTACAACTTCGTACTTCGTTCACGAGCCCCGCCCTCTGTACGAAGTTAGACTATATATAGCTAGGCCGCGTCATAATTCCTCACGTCATAACTTCGTACAACTTCGTACTTCGCCCGGCTTTTGGACGAAGTTAGCTTACTGAATTTAACTTCGTAAGTTCGTACATTACACCCTGATGCTGGACATGTATGGACAGTATTCGTTGAAAATCATCATTTACCGTACTGTATACTACATGTAACATCTAACGTCAAACAACAATATTGTCCACATTAATATCAAAGGCCAAAGTTATCATGTGAGATGGGCTTTGTGGGAGGGGGGTTATATTACACACTGCATAATCGTATGCCATTTGTAATCTTTGAATTGCCATGTCAAACTAGAGATAAGGCACTGTGAACGTCTGCATACCCCTGCATTTATACTTAGTCTAATAAACTACGAGTGATGGTAACTTTGTGATTCCGTAATTTAGGCACTGGGAAAAAAACAAAGGGAAGAGTTCAAGGCAAGAATGGCCGCACCCTACAAATGTACCGACTGCAAAAAATGACTCTATTTCACATATTATACGCCTGAGAAGGGCTTAACTAAATATTTAAGTCGACAGCTTGAACTACCAGCAACGCAAAACGAATACACAGGGTTATATACTGCAAGAAATAAGGTTGAATTTAGTCAAGTCAACTCGAAGCTGTACAGAGGTAGGTTTGTACTTACCCAAGCTAAAATTAGCCACCATGAGTGCGCCAACTATCCCCAGGGCAAACTTCATTGTGAACACTTATATGGCCGTCTTCTAAAATTCTCCGCCTGACTTGAAGTTGCACGTCGTATCTCACAAAATAAGTCTTGACGAACACAACACTCACACAAGGTTAATTTCAGATAAACACTCACACAGACACAATTTCTTGTTTAGAGAAGGGACTTTAGACAAACCAGCTCGGGGCGCACCCATGTCCCTTGTGGCCACACAAAAGCTTTACGTAGGTCAATTGTTGTAATCAAATCAAAAATCAGGGGTCACTAAGCTCCATACAGCGTCAGTAAAGAACGCCGTAGGCATTTTCACGGTCATCGACCTAAGGCCACACCGACTTAATTTCTCACGTCCTCCAAGGCTCTGGTCTGGCTCTAGGCATGGGTAGTCCGTGGTAGTTACACGGTAGCGACAGTACGGAGCCTGGCACCAAGGCTACCGATCCGCGAACCTACACGGCTAAAAAAACACAGTACATATGTACAGTGCCGCAAAAAGCCAGCATATGCCGGCTTGTAATATACGTTGCTATGTACTACCGCAATACCTGGTTTGTATTCTTTGGTTTAGTAGCATAATGATTTTTATTTTTGCCGAATTTTTTTATTCACCGGCGCGCACTAGTTTGGGGGTCTTTAGAGGTGATAATCAATTAAGACTGTTGGACCTAATGGATGTTTTTGAGTTGTCACTGTGTGTATTTTGTGTGTATGGTTTCAAACTAAATAAGTCGTTTCGTATTGACGTTCTAGCGTCGCCAATATTAAAGAAATACTTTCATCGTTCAACATTTCAATGCACGCATCTCCTCTGGTTACGGGCTGACCTGACCATGCATCGCCAAACAAAGAAACAATATTGCCTTGATGTATAAGATCCAGCATGACCTTGCACGCGTAAGATGCGAAGCCCGTGCCTGGCATCAGGAGAAGCCGGAGAGGCCACAGTCAACAGCTCCAGCACATAACTTGTCGAACGAACTACAGACTACCCCCCCCCCCCTGCACAATCCCTGATTGGATCGCCCTGCCCACAGACACTGTCCAATCCCCGTCCCTGTCCACCTTGGTCTCGATGGCGTCCAGTCCGGCCTAGACTCAGTTACGCTGGTGACCTTCGACCCGAGACATGTCAATTATTGCCGGTATCGGCAGTTGGACATTAGGCCATGTTGATTTGATTATATGGATGACATCCTATGGTAACCCCAAAACTGATGCGCGCGTGCGAATAAAAAAAAAAGTTTTGCAAAAAAAAAAAGTTGCTTTCACTATGAAATCTACGTGGTCATGAAGGTTGAACAAATGGCACAGAATATGTTATGGCGAATAATCTACTCTTCGAATTCATTTCTTTACATTTTTGTCTTTTTTCCTTTGATTTTGGGCATTCTTCGACATTGGTATCGTTTCTAAATGTTTTCCTTGCAACTTATGGTATATTTTTGCTCATTTAGCAACTGTTTTGCACGATTTACACTATGTTTGAAAACTTTTTTTGATGGGGGGAAACGGCCGAAAATTCATGCGCGCGTGGATGTCATCCATATAATCAAATCAACATGGCCTTACCGGAAGAAGATACTGGGTCTCCCCTAATGTACTGCAGTGTAGTGCACTGTCCCTGAACCACACTTCAAAGCGCCTTTGAAGCATGTGATTTGAAAAACAGGCGTCCTGCCAGACTGAAAACAGCCTAACGCCAAGTTTCCTTCAAGAAGAAAGCCCTGAAGGTTGCACATAACTTTCAAGGCAAGTCAGGTCAAGGGAAACCAGTTCTCAGACTGTCAACAACATGGAGCCGGTGGGGCAGGTCGTCCTGTTAGCGGTCAGTCTGGCCTTTGTTAACCTGGCCATCGCGGGTATGTTAACATATTATGCATTCTGTTACCGTAAGAAATGTGTAATAATGTATAAAATCGTAGATTTTGCCCTGTTTTGTATGAATCTATAATTGTAGGAAACACAAAACAGCCCAAAATTATACACGACTTTCTGAACTACATGAAAATTCTTAGGTTTTCTGTTCGCTTGCATATCTTTCTTATCATGCACTGCTTGTCCTAACGGCCTTTAAAGTTACATAACTGCAAACTTCGTTTAGTCATAGAAGTTAAAACAGACGTTTTGGCTTCGTTGTTTCCAAGAAATGGGACGAAGAGTAAATTATCATTGGCGACAAGCCATGGATTACACGCACGAGAAACTAGCACGTAGGAACCGTGCGGTAGTTTTGGGATGGAGGTAGAAATTGGCTTGGGAGGGGCAGGGAGAGGGTAGTCAATAGACTTTTGGGTCTAGAAGCCAGATTGCTATATACAAATGGCCTGAGGGGAGGTCCATGCCGAAAATTCGTGTGTACTTAGCAAATAAACGCTCGATAATAATTAGAGAATCTATAACGAGCCTTTGACTTGAATTTATCCTGGTCGATATATGCATCTTTGAGAATTTTTGTTCAGACTAAGGCCACACTGATTTAATTTTATGGATGACATCGCGCGCATTGATTTTCGCCTGTCGCCCTAAAAAAAAATATCACGTCCACCGAGGCTCTGGCCTGGCTCTAGGCCTGGGTAGTCCATGGTAGTCAGCGACAAAACGGAGCCGGGGACCCAGGCTACCGAAGCTCCACGACTCAAGAACTCAGTGCATAAGTACAGTACCGATTCATAAATTCCGCATAAAGCCAGTTAGTGCCGGCTTGTCGTATACGTCGCTAAGTACTGTCGCGAATTCACAATACCAGCTTTGTATTCCTGTGGTTTAGTAGCATTTTTATTTTTGGCCGGAATTTTTTTTTATTCGCCCGCGCGCACTAGTTTGGGGGTCTTCAGATGATGTCATCCATAAAATTAAATCGGTGTGGCCTAATAATTGTTGAAAGACATAACATCCTCTGAAATTATAAATGGGATTTTTAAATTCGTAAGATATGAAAGAAGTCTCAGGCAAGTCACTCACACCTAACATTCATGTTTTACTTTTATGCCAAGTAGGGAGTAATCGCCTTGGCGATGAAATCATAATGGTTTCTAAGTGCAACACGAATTATACTAAAATATGCAGTGATGTACTTGTATTTTTGACGGTGGGGTGAGGGTGAGTTGTTGTTTTTTTTATTCTAAGAGGTAATAGCACCCAACAAATGGCTACGCTATCCCGGACAGGGAAATGTGTTCTGGACATCAAACATCTCCAGCTCTAGTCACAAACGTAGGAGCCATGCATTAGTTTACGGCATAAGGCAAATTGAGGATGTTTTATTTAGTTGGCGTACAGGCTTCCGATATACTTTGGCAGTTATGTGACAGTTAATCCTGTCGGCGATCTTTATTTCAAAATGTTTAAGACATTCGGCAGTACGGGAGGTTCGGACATGGTTGACCGGTGGTTGGCTGGTGTCCAGGAGTTAAGGTCAGTAGTATTCTCGGCGTGTTCCATTGGGAGTCGGGGGAGGGGGCCATTTTTTACTTCAAATTTAACTCAAAGTATCTCATATAATTATTTACAACGTTTAAATTTTAAGCTATCCCTTGAAAACAAAAGTGTTACTTGCCTTATTTAATATGTCTTTTGAAAAAAGAGCAATTTACCTACACTTACCAGAAAATCTGTTCGAAACTGACCCCTAGATTGGGTTGGGTTGGATAACTTGCACGTACGCAAGGGCCAAGGCCAGTGCGGCTCTGTCTTGTATTCAAGTCACTCCGTGAGTCGAATTGTGATTCAAAGCACACAGTGATTGCAGATGCGTCAAAAATTCGATACACAACTGATGTTTCGCCAAATGTTCCCTTTTCACCTTATGTTCCCATTCTGGAAAATTTTACATCAGTTAAAATCGTGTAATTATACTAAAATAAACTCTCAAAAGTTTAATTCAGTCAATACTCCCCTCGACAATGGTATTGGTCCAGAAAATTGCCCAGTTAGCGTGCCAACTTGACCTTAGAATGGTAGCAGCAAATGAGTTTGCAATTCATGTCACGTCTGTCGGCTTTGTCTCAAAGCAGATGTTGAGTTCAGATGTTTTCAATTTTTCTGACACTCTAGTTTCTCTGAATGTTCCTCATTACAAGTTTTAGACCGCTTGTAAAACAATAATAAGTATCGAATAGTAAAGTTCTTTTTATCACAACCATTTATTTTTCAAGCCAACGTTTCGATGACCTTCTGTCATCTTTATCAGGGCAATACTGACTGGTTTACTGTGCACTGACACTAGATGTTGCTTATGCACTAAAGGATAGTGCACATAGTGCACATAAAGCACTATGCACCAACATCTAGTGTCAGTGCACAGTAAACCAGTCAGTATTGCCCTGAATTTTTTTAGACGTTATTTTTTTTAGACTTTCAGGGGTGTGTCCCCCCAAACAAGTCTGGGGTCGTCAGGTTTTTTAAGGGTCGTTCGGGTTGGTATAGCTAGCTGCCACCGCGCCGCGTGCCTGCGAAGCTGATGTTTTACGCCGAAGGGTGGTTATACCGGCTATACTGCTACAGATGCAGATAGGGTCGTTCGAAAAACAGGAAACACACATTTTTCCTGGGCCTCAGCAACACAATTATACATATGTACAGTCCACACCGACTGAGCAAGTGACTGACAGCTGGTGTTTGTTCAGAATACCACCCGATCTGGTCAATGACTTGGTCCTTCCGTATGCCCGTCATTGCTAGGGTGATCGTACACACTTCTAGAAAACTGTACAAGGTCTCTCCTTTGTCGTCGTCCATTGCTTTTAGGTATTAGTTTTAGCGCTGCCTCCATTGTGCTAGTGCCTGTTTGTCGGAAATCTCGCCCTCTTTGGTTGTAGTAGAAAAAGGAAGGTCCCAACTAGTGCCAAACTGGCGGGCTTTGTCTATATATAGATGTAAGCCCCTAACAGGATATTTGGCCAATGAACACGTTGCCTCTTCCATCTCGTAGGGTCTTTTCCAAAACTTTATTGAACAGCACTCCTCCTGATGGAAGCCTTTTGACATCGTTTGTTGTCAAATTGAGGAGGTCCAATCCCCGATCCCCTGAGAAAAAGAGCGTCTTGAAGAGTGCTTGATCTGAAGGAGGAAAGCTATTTCTAACTTCGTACCCTGACCCGGACCTCAGTACGAAGTTAGCCTCAGATATTTCTAACTTCGTTCTTCGTAGTCGTACCCTGGCCCCCGCCCTTCGTACGAAGTTAGATTACGTCACACGGTAGTACACGGTGGTAAAATCTGGGCTGCAAAGTTCCCACATGTCATAGAACCCGAACTGTGTTCGATCGTGTTCGATCTGGGCAATTCGAATCGAACCCGCGTTCTATTTCGGGGTCACCTGCGGTCATTTACTATAAAGCGGCAAAACAAGCACTTCTGCCTGTGTGCCTCGCAACAGATAAAAAACAATACTTTTCTATAGATAAAAATAGTTTGCTTGACAGTACATGTCCGCTATTATTTATGGTGGACATGTAACATGTAGCGAAGCTACTGTCGTATCCTTGAGTGACCTTGAATACTGTAATGATTCTTTACGCCAGTATGAATAACACAATGCACACTTTCTGGCAATATGACATGTCTCCAAAACTCGTTCAAACCTGGAAACATGGAGAGTCAAACATACCCCATTTACGGCTCAAAATGACCGTAACGGTTGTCCCGAAAATCGTGTTTTAGGGATTTTCGAAAAATGGCCTCAATTTTTAATTATGGGTAATTTAGTGAGAAAAATGTCCAAAAATGCTATTTTTTCACCAATATGTCGACAAAAACTAGACTTAAAATCAGAAATTAAAAAATCCCTAAAACACGATTTTTGATCTTATTCCTAGTCTGTGAAAAATTAAAAAATCGGGGATCTGGGGTAATATACGTAGCCAGGTTTGAACGATGTTTGCCTAAAATCGTGACATGACTTGTGCCCGGAAACCCGAAAATAATCGTCTTTCTGAGCGAAATTTTAAAAAATCAGTGATCTAACATAAAAGGTAACATTTAAAGGATGTTAAGACTATAATTTCATTTTAATTTGACGAAATTTACGCCTAAGTATTATTTGTTTATTTTCAAATATTTTACGGGTAGTCCAAAACAGGCCAAAATAGCGTCTTGTAACCCGATACCTTTTCGAACGCGCATAGCAATGGGAAAGAATGCCGTAGTGACAGACCGCCGTGGTACGTGAACTCTGTACATCATACACCAGCCCCTGCCCTCTGTACAAAGTAAGGCTTAGTCATTTCTAACTTCGTACAATTTCGTACAACTAAGTACCTCGTAACTTCTTACCTTTCACCCTGATACTGGACGATACTCATTATGTGAACAGTGTAATTACAAATTTCCTACTTAATTATGCAAATAAAGTGTTCATTTGCATAATTTGCTGCATTACTAAGGTCAGTTACCCGGAGACACATGTTTGAAATTATCTTTCGTCTTCCTACGGCTTATCAGTATATAATCACGATCCATAAATGCGTCCAGAAGTTATGACGACCACGAAGATGCAGGAACACACACAAACACAGAGAGAGAGAGAGAGAGAGAGAGACAGGCAGACAAACAGAAAGACACAGAGAGAGAGAGAGAGAGAGAGAGAGAGAGAAGACACAGACACACATACACACACACACCACACTCACACATACAGAGACAGACAGACACAGACACACAGACACACACACACGCGCGCGCGCAGATACACCAAAAACAATACCTCCATTTTTCATGGAGGAAATGTACAAATATGTCTCATATTGCATGTAACAAACGCCGTTTTTTTCCTGCAGAGGTAAATGTCGCACTGAACAAAAAGGCCTCACAGAGCAGTTTGCTGAGATCGGAATATCCTGCGGAACGAGCTGTGGACGGAAACACAGGAACCATTCTGTACCCTCTAAAGGAATGCACACACACGGACCTGGAGTACGAGCCGTGGTGGAAGGTTGATCTTGGAGACACTTACGTCATCAGTCACGTGACAGTCATTAACCGAGGAGACTGCTGTGGTGAGTAGATAGGAAACAGTTTGTTAGAACTATAATTATTATCAGTTGATATTTTTATTACTTTAGAGATGTGAAAGGGTGGTATGTTACGCCGAAAGGCGGTTATACCGGCAATAAAAAACAATAGTATATACGGTAATACATAAAATCACATTTACTAACTTAAAGCTAAAAACACATTTACTCGGATGTATGATTTCTTAATCAGTAGTGAAGGGTGTGAACTTACTATGTTATTCATATTTGTTGTTTTGAAAGTTCAAATAGCGCAATACTACAACTTTCAAATTGAACGCTATTCTCCGACATTTTTTAACAAAAAAGGTTCTAAATGTCTAAAAAATTAGAACACCTGTTCTAAAAAGGTAGAAATACACCTCTTACAGGAGAACGACTGCGAAACTTCATGGTACGAGTCGGTCCATATGAGGACTTCCGTGGAAATACACCATGTGGTGACATTTACTCGGAAACTCCATCGGAAGGAGAGACTATCGACGTGCGGTGTGAGGAGCCCATCTTAGGGAGGTGGGTGTCTGTCCAGCTGATCGGCCGGGAGGACTACCTGTCTCTGTGTGAGGTACAGGTGTTTTCAGTGACAGGTAAGATGTTATCATTTTTGGTAAATGTTCAGGCCTCGAAATTAAATTTTATATTGCCCCAGCACAGTCCCAAAAAATTCAATTGTCCCAAAATGAGGATGAACTGTATTGAGGTGAGCATAAAATAATTGAATTATGTCATCTTAAAGTCAACTTAAATTTGCTTATGTTCACTCCCAGGCACACTATAATTGCACAGTAGACAGAAAAGTCATGGGGGGGGGCATTTTCGGATCTAAAAGCCTGGACGTCTGCCTGATAAACCAAAGAAGGGCTGGCATTCATTTTTCTATTGTCCCAGAAAAATTCTATGTTTTTTTTTGTCCCAGCCCTGATGTTGCTTAATATCTATAATTGCCACAAATGCTTACAATTGTGTATCTTGCTCGAAGGTGCCTGAAAAGTCGCCGAGCTGTATCAACTCCATGTTCTTTTTTTAAGAAACGTTTTAAGAAAACACAACTGTTTTCAGAATATTTTGACCCATTGAGATTTTTAAGTTCATTTAATTCAATGGATATTTACAATTATCTTTTTTGTCATTTTTTTCCTAATTTTTTTCCTTTTATTTTTTTATTAACCCTACCTAGACCGGGGGGGGGGGGCTAAAAGTGCCCGCGGCAACTTTGATGTCACCTAGCGTCTGAACGACTAGCCGTAGAACGGCCAAACTTGGTGACTTTTCCTTGAGTATTGTTGGCAACAATTCTTTATCATTGGAATAAGATAATAATTTTTTGTGTTGTAAGATAATAATTTTTTGTGTTGCCATGGCAACGGGTTTCTGACAGGCATTTTTTGCTAAATTTAGTACTTTTTGTTTCAACAATAGAATTTTATGGGTTTTATGTCAAGTTACTCATGGTTTCTAATATTAATAACATCCCATATAATTGTATGTAAATTTCATCATTAAATATACATAATTTATGCTAATTTGATGACGTCATTGGCCAAAATCCAAGATGGCGGACCATATCAATAGAACAGGTATATACAGGTTTTTTTCATTAAAATTTCATCAATACTTCCATTTCTTTTTCCAAAAAAGGATTAAATGAAGGTCTTTAGTATGTTTACGATGTATTTTAGGCTTTATCATGAAAAAAAACTATTTTTGAAAATTCAAGATTGATGATCCAAGATGGCGGATATCTTAAATATGCATGACGTCATTTTATGACGTCACCGGTGTTGCTATGGGCAACATAAGACTTAGTACACCATAAAATTCTGTCATTAACACTTTTGGTACAGTTATGTTGAAAACCATTTAGTTTTCAGGGAAAAACCTATTTAGACGGTTTTGGCCAATAAAATCACATTAATGACGTCATAATGACGTCATATTACATCATAACGACATAAAAATTGTAGATATGATAAATTATTATTCGTACACCATTCTCTAAAAATCTGGTGGTCATACGACATACCGTTCGCGAGTTCTTAGGGGGGGTCAAAAGAGCCCCCCCGTCCCCCCATGTCAAAAAAAGCCCGGTCTAGGTAGGGTTAAATGCTAATCATACTTTTTTGCAGTAAAAGCGTTGTTATACATAACTCTATATTTCTTTAGATGACGAAAGGCGACCTTATCTACTGTACACGACAGAACGGGATATTAGAAAGTTGTTTCTAGACAGTTCGGCTACTCCAGAATACGTCCAGCTACCCGGCATAAGAGAAGTTATAAGCTTGGCCTTTCACTGGAAAAAACAAATGTTGTTCTTTTTTGAACTGGAAAGCAACGCCATCTACAGAACGTATCTAAACGATACACGACAAAGGTTAATTTCTGCTTATTAGTAATTATTAAGTGTTTTTTTTCAACCATTGCCATATTCAATCTTTTCAATTAGATATTTTACTTCGTTTTTTCCGTCTATTGTAATCTCATGGCGAAAACAACAACGGCTGTTTAAAAAGTCTATTTGTGTTTCTCAGAATCTTTTTATCATTTTTACGCAGGTGGTATGTAATGTCCCAAAAGCTTGGCTTAGGACGTTGCCAGCTTACAAAGCAAGATAATAATTAAATAAATAGCATTATTTAACAAGAAAAACATAAACTAACAAAACACAGATAGACAGCGATTTCAGAGTTTTAACATTGCATATTTACTTCTCTAATAGCGAGGTTGTTATCGATGCTGATCTCGTCACTCCGGCATCCTTGGCTGTTGATTGGATAGGAGATAATCTGTTTTGGACGGATATGAGGAGAGATGTGATTGAGATGTCTAAACTTGATGGATCCTATCGGCGAACTTTTCTGAGTGAAGACCTGAACAGGCCCAGAGGATTGGCAGTTGATCCTATTAAGGGGTAAATATATTATCTTAACACACAATTAGGCTAAAAATACATTCTGACGCATATTCGAGTAGCACCATGCATGCGTCTGCAGCCGTATTTTATAACAATATGTAACCATAAGACGTGTTGAAGGCACACTCAAGTTTTTTCAACTTATATTAATGCCACCACCAACACAGGGGGGCAGTACAATACTCATTTTTACATGAGCGAGGTGAGGAAAGTCGTGTAAAGGTCATTTCCCAAGGGCACGAGATCGGTAGCATATCAGAACTCGGACCCGGGTCGAGCACTCTGCCCGTACGCCACACAACCCTTGTTCTTTTTAGTTAAAACACAGTTTTTTGAGACAGGTATGGCACATTAAGTTTCCACCATGAAGTGTTTAAAGACGCGACTCTCTGATACGTTACACTTTTCTTTTTATTATTGCTGATGTGATATAAAGTCACAAAATATTTGTAGACTACTGAGTATTTTTGTCACCAGAGCATTCGTTATTCAGATGGATTTAACAGAAACTCTCAGATATCGTATCAAGACCCAATTTTATTTTGTCCTTTCGAAAAATATTTTTTTAGTCCAAGAAAATGCGTTTCCAACAAGTACTGAGATACTCAAAGAGGCACTTAATTCAGGAGAAGGGTATTGTAAATAATTTAAACAATAATAATTATAACAAAATGTATATTTTGGCACCATTCGATATGTAGCTGTAAGAAGCAGAAAACATTTCGAAAAAGAAAACAAACGGTAATTAAAAAAAAAATCTATGTCTATGGCTGCATACTATTAATGCGCCCGGCGAGAAATAGTTTGTATTTTTTTTTTCTTGAAAAGGAAAACTGACCTTGTTATGTGTTATTTGTTACTTATTTAATAACGGGCTATCGTGGCGTGCCCTTTTCTGGTACGTACAAAATGTTTACTAAATGAGAAACGTGCAGGGAATGCATGGGCATGGTATGCCTAGGGGCAGTGATACTGATATCATGAAACAAACGTCACAGAAGTTGAATTCTAATTGAAATCTGTACGTGATACATTTTTTAAAATATTGACCTGTTACAAAATAAAAAACAAGAAGCCATAGGTGACAATCCTCCGTGAAGTTTTATATATTTCAACAAAAACAATCCCAGGCGTCAACGCCAGACCTACTGTGCAGACATTATAATGAGAAGAAACTGAATTTACTTGATTGTAGCTACTTGACGATGTATATATGTAACGTTATCTATATTCCATTCTTTTTTGTGACCTGTACTTAACCCAGTGGGTATGTGTGTACAATAAAGGTCTTCATTCATTCAATATTAGGCAACGGTTAATACAATGAGGGCGCGTCACAACCATAAAACATAAGACCTAAATCCGGATCCATTACATGGCGTATAAAGATACTGTGCTTCAAGTTCGAAGTTCATTTTAATTACACACACACTACTGACAATCATTGCATTCACATAAAGATCGGACTATCATGGTCGTGTCACGACAGCGCGACTGGAATAGGCCAAATTCCAGCAACAGTCGCGGCTAGCACCGCGAGTGTTACTGCCGCCGGTCAGATACCCGGGATATCTGCTTAGAGAACCTCTGCTACAAACAACTACCTAATTGTAAAAGTAGGGATGTTTCTAAAATATGCATTTACTTCAATATCAAAACAGCTATAATAAAAATAAAAAGACGTGCATCATCACGGACATAATGCCACACCACATGCGAAATTACACAGAAATGCGACGTACGGAAGAATGCGTTTTGGCTGCGAACATCTTCCAAAAAACTTGCCATCTCTTAAGCCCGGGCAAAAACATCTGGAACCACTTATCAAAAACACCCCGTATCTGCATGAAGTTCCACCCCTCCACTGCTATTCCAAACAACGAGTTTTTCTGGACCATTCCAATCCGCCTCGTAATTGTAGGGGTGCGTCTGCAATATTACATTGACCGCGAAAGCAGCAATGGCAAAAATACACATTTGTGCATCAACACGGACATGCCCGCAGACGGCGTATAAAATTGCGTGCCGATTACACAAAGGGAATCCAGTGTTTTGACTGCGAACACGAAAAACCAGCCGTTCACAACACTCCGTGCGGAGGTCCTGACCTCCTTCACGGAGTAACAAACCCGTTCTGTCGCCTGTGACGCTTTTTGTTATTTCCTGCAGGTACCTGTTTCTAAGTGACTTGAGTGACTTGGGAGATGGCAAAATAGAACGAATCACTCTGGATGGGAAGGAGAGGAAAGTTCTGGTCAGCTCTGATCTAAAATATCCTACCGACATAACCTTAGGTATTACCCTTGAAACATACTCAGCTTTTTAATAATTATATACATGTTTTTTTCTTGCAAATTTTATCATTGGTATTTGATTTTAACGTACCGCACTTTAGATCCTTCTAAATACTGCATGTTTTAATACATTGTTGAATCGTAATCTTTGTTGATTTTAAAGAGAAACTTGTCAATGTCTTAATCAGTAACTGTAATTGCAAATATCAGAGCGATATAAAGGTCCCTCTATAAAAAAATACATACACTTCTTGCTGAAATAGAGAATTTGTTTTGTAAATTGTAAAAGGGAGACGACGCAACAGATATTTTTGCAGCACCTGAAGGAGTTGGCATACTACATGTGCATAATATATAAAATGTCGCCTGACTACTTATGCCTACTAACTTTACCCCTTTAAATGCCAAATAACAGTAAATGAATATTCATTTGTAAAATGATAGTGATATTAATTTAAACGTAAACAGAAAACGTAGACAAAAAAACATGGCTGAGATTACATGGCTGAATTATAGCCGTTAATTTTTACAGATGTGACACAGCAGCGGCTGTTTTGGACAGACGATGGGATGAAAAGGATTGAATCTATAACCACAGATGGAAGAGTCCGGAAGCTGCTTGTAGAGGAGGAATTAGCACCCCCTCCTTACGGCATCGCTGTGTCAGAGGACAGGATCTTCTGGACAGACTGGAGATTCAGTTAGTCAATATTCGTATAAAAGTAATAGAACTAAAATGTCAAAAAAGCTCAGTATTAACTTTCTAAAAGCGACGGTCACAACCCGCCGTACGTGCTCCTGCGTGCTGTCTACGTGCAAAAACGTGGGCAACGCAGGCATCCGTGCGTGGTGAGTACTGCCTCCGTACGGATTGGGAGCACGCAGACACGCCGTAGAACTTAAAGTGCATGTTAAACTTTTCTACGTGCGGTCTGCGGATTCACCACCCGTGCGTGCGAGTACGGGCGACGTGCGTGCCTGCACGTGCCGTGCGGAAGAAGCACGTGTGAGTACGGCGTCCTTACGGTAAAGTTGCAATCGCACAGAGATCGTACGTTGTAAGCACGTACAACTCACTTGCCACTTGCGCAACGTACAATGCACGCAACTGCTCATGGCCAGACGTAACGTGCAGAGCACACTCTTACACCTTGCAAAACCGTGCGAGTGACGTGCGAGTGACGTGCGTCGATTCCACTCCTTCCGCACGTTTTCAGAAAAAACGTAGCAGACGTAGCCTCCAAAAAAACGTACGGAGAAAAAGCACGTACGGCGGGTTGTGACCGTCGCTTAAGGGTTCGTCGTCATGTCAGTTTATATTTAGGGCCTTTTATTTCTTATAATTTATCAGTGCGGTAATGTATTGATAATTTCGCTAATGTCACTATTCCTACAACTGCACTATAATATTTAATACAGTTTGAAAATATTGATGAATATAACCAGTCAAACAATACATGTCATTTGCAGATTCCATTATGAGTGCAGAGAAGGACACAGGCAGGAACCCAACAGTAGTCTATGGCCATGGCTCACACCCATTTGGGAGCCTTTTTATTTTAAGCTGATTGACAAAGACAAACAGCCAGGTAACGCATGATTTGTATGACTATGAGTGAGAAACTATCCCCCCCCCTCTGTCTCTGTCTCTCTCTCTCTGTCTCTCTCTCTCTCTACTCTCTTTTCTCTCCAGACTTTATCTTATGTCAAGCCCGCCGCTGTTTTATTTAAGTCACAGAATTCAGCAATGTATTTGGTTGTTAATTTTCTCCTTTTCACTTGGCATTAGCAGCGAGATAAACGCAACGAGATCGCCGGTGCAGTAGGTTCGTTGTTAGGTTGACAGTTCCACTGTACTCTCGCATGTTACTGCAGTAACGAATTATACCTGTCTAAATCTCTAACAGGAACAAGTCCTTGCGCCATCAACAACGGTGGATGTAGTCATTTCTGCCTCAACACGCCGGCTGGTCACACGTGCGCTTGTCCTGATAGCCTTCAGCTCGACGGAAATACCTGTAAAACAGGTACGTACTGCCAGTATATCACGTTTTCTCAAATCTCTATTTTCAAGTATTTCAAGTACGTATTTTGCGGAGCTGTTTACATTCCATACGCTTATTGATTAAACTCTCCTAAATTGTAGAACTGCCCTTTGCAAAGTTGACTGACAAAAGGTGTAGCTGTGTGACCAGTAAATCCAATGCCTTCAAAGGAAAAAAAAACAACAACAACATTCGTTCTCAGGCTATGACTATACTAACACAAGCCTTCATGGCATTGTATTAAGAAAGCAAAATCAATTACCAAAAGGGATTTAAAAAAGCTAGAGTTGTGGAGGTTTGAAGTCAGCCGGAAAGTGTATTGGTCGACAAATTGAAGTCCATATATATTTATATAAAATATTTGGTGGAAATGAGCCTGAACAGAAATCTAAAATTAATATCTAATGCTTTTTACATTCAAGATTCGAGTTTTTTGTACAGATATGCGTGGATATTTCATTTTATTCAATAGGATATTGTACTGAAATATCAAAAGTTTCATTAAAGTGAACTTAAAGTTTTCAGTACGACCAAGTCAGCCTTTTTTGTAAAAAAAAGAGTCAAATTTATTAAAGGATATTGATAAGAAACTTTTATTGATTTCAGGCGATGCAGTTTTAGAAAAAAAGAATTTTTCTCATATTTGTAAACCGTAGAAATTATATGTTTTAGTTATTATAAGATCCAACTATTTAGATTTTTGTTGATGTTTCAGACCAGCGAGTCACATTGTCCATCACACATCCTCCAGTAGACACAACAGGTGTTGATGGAGACGTCATCACCCTTTTCTGTGAGACAAATATGAAGCTCAACATCCTATGGAAAAAGGGCGGCAGGACAATAGACCCAAGTGCCAGGAACAGATATGACGTCATAGAATATCAGAAAGGACGAGCGTCTGCGCTGAGGATAGACCCCCTGCGTAGGACACGTGATAATGACACATTTACGTGCAGAGTGGAAAACGTCAACGACGGGTCTGTGAAAGAAGCTAGTGCGGCCATCAACATATTAACAGGTGAGAAAAAGGTTCATCAAAGAATCTGTTCCTAGTTTTGCAACATCCTGGATAACGGTTATTGGGATTGTATACGTCATTTGTTAATGCATTAAAACTGAGTGAATGGATAAAATGGAATATTCCATATAAATTACCTAAAATCATTTAGCTTCTGCATAAAAAAGATTTAGTAAAAAGCCATAATTTTTTGACGTTTGTACATAGTTATAGATCTCTAATGTAATTTTTGAATTTTGATAATTAAGACAGTTACGTTACTGACCACAACGTCTTTTGATTGTATGTACACGGAACGCACCTAAGACCTGCTTGTTTGATTATTTTTTATTGTATTACTCTAATTTTGTTGCTATTTTTAGCTTTTCATGGTCAGAAGGTTTCTACAAGCAGTGAAACGTATAGCTGCATTACCTTTATGCTTAGGCCTAGTATACCTAACGTAAATTAACTTCACCTACTATAATTAACCCTTCACAGAGGACAGTCTACCAGCTGGCTTCCCTGATATAAACCGGCAACCTCAACTGAAAGCAGTACAGGAAGGCCGCCCGACGGTTCTCGTGTGCAGTGCAAGTGGAAACCCTGCACCTGACATCACCTGGTTGAAAGATATGGTCCCAGTAGACATGACAGACGATAGGATAAAGCTTTTGATATCAGGTATATATTGCAAAAAAGGAGTCATACAGTGTTTATCCTATTTTTTCTAAAATTGTCTAAATAGGTCATACCTTTGGTGGAAACAATGAAAATAATTGGCAACATCACCGACGTTAAAATATGCTAAGTTGGTTACACATTGTTCTTCATGAGGAACCTCTTCCTGGTGCGGGTTAAATCTTGTAAAGGTGATCACAAGATAGAACTGCACATTGGTGTCGTTTTCTAGGTTCNAGACTTTATCTTATGTCAAGCCCGCCGCTGTTTTATTTAAGTCACAGAATTCAGCAATGTATTTGGTTGTTAATTTTCTCCTTTTCACTTGGCATTAGCAGCGAGATAAACGCAACGAGATCGCCGGTGCAGTAGGTTCGTTGTTAGGTTGACAGTTCCACTGTACTCTCGCATGTTACTGCAGTAACGAATTATACCTGTCTAAATCTCTAACAGGAACAAGTCCTTGCGCCATCAACAACGGTGGATGTAGTCATTTCTGCCTCAACACGCCGGCTGGTCACACGTGTGCTTGTCCTGATAGCCTTCAGCTCGACGGAAATACCTGTAAAACAGGTACGTACTGCCAGTATATCACGTTTTCTCAAATCTCTATTTTCAAGTATTTCAAGTACGTATTTTGCGGAGCTGTTTACATTCCATACGCTTATTGATTAAACTCTCCTAAATTGTAGAACTGCCCTTTGCAAAGTTGACTGACAAAAGGTGTAGCTGTGTGACCAGTAAATCCAATGCCTTCAAAGGAAAAAAAAACAACAACAACATTCGTTCTCAGGCTATGACTATACTAACACAAGCCTTCATGGCATTGTATTAAGAAAGCAAAATCAATTACCAAAAGGGATTTAAAAAAGCTAGAGTTGTGGAGGTTTGAAGTCAGCCGGAAAGTGTATTGGTCGACAAATTGAAGTCCATATATATTTATATAAAATATTTGGTGGAAATGAGCCTGAACAGAAATCTAAAATTAATATCTAATGCTTTTTACATTCAAGATTCGAGTTTTTGTTACAGATATGCGTGGATATTTCATTTCATTCAATAGGATATTGTACTGAATATCAAAAGTTTCATTAAAGTGAACTTAAAGTTTTCAGTACGACCAAGTCAGCCTTTTTTGTAAAAAAAAGAGTCAAATTTATTAAAGGATATTGATAAGAAACTTTTATTGATTTCAGGCGATGCAGTTTTAGAAAAAAAGAATTTTTCTCATATTTGTAAACCGAAGAAATTATATGTTTTAGTTATTATAAGATCGAACTGTTTAGATTTTTGTTGATGTTTCAGACCAGCGAGTCACATTGTCCATCACACATCCTCCAGTAGACACAACAGGTGTTGATGGAGACGTCATCACCCTTTTCTGTGAGACAAATATGAAGCTCAACATCCTATGGAAAAAGGGCGGCAGGACAATAGACCCAAGTGCCAGGAACAGATATGACGTCATAGAATATCAGAATGGACGAGCGTCTGCACTGAGAATAGACCCCCTGCGAAGCACACGTGATAATGACACATTTACGTGCAGAGTGGAAAACGTCAACGACGGGTCTGTAAAAGAAGCTAGTGCGGCCATCAACATATTAACAGGTGAGAAAAAGGTTCATCAAAGAATCTGTTCCTAGTTTTGCAACATCCTGGATAACGGTTATTGGGATTGTATACGTCATTTGTTAATGCATTAAAACTGAGTGAATGGATAAAATGGAATATTCCATATAAATTACCTAAAATCATTTAGCTTCTGCATAAAAAAGATTTAGTAAAAAGCCATAATTTTTTGACGTTTGTACATAGTTATAGATCTCTAATGTAATTTTTGAATTTTGATAATTAAGACAGTTACGTTACTGACCACAACGTCTTTTGATTGTATGTACACGGAGCGCCTCTAAGACCTGCTTGTTTGATTATTTTTTATTGTATTACTCTAATTTTGTTGCTATTTTTAGCTTTTCATGGTCAGAAGGTTTCTACAAGCAATGAAACGTAAATAGCTGCATTAACCTTTATGTTTAAGCCTACTATACCTAACGTGGATTACCTTCATCTAGTAATGATTAACCCTTCACAGAGGACAGTCTACCAGCTGGCTTCCCTGATATAAACCGGCAACCTCAACTGAAAGCAGTACAGGAAGGCCGCCCGACGGTTCTCGTGTGCAGTGCAAGTGGAAACCCTGCACCTGACATCACCTGGTTGAAAGATATGGTCCCAGTAGACATGACAGACGATCGGATAAAGCTTTTGATATCAGGTATATATTGCAAAAAAAGGAGTCATACAGTGTTTATCCTATTTTTTTCTAAAATTGTCTAAATAGGTCATACCTTTGGTGGAAACAATGAAAATAATTGGCAACATCACCGACGTTAAAATATGCTAAGTTGGTTACACATTGTTCTTCATGAGGAACCTCTTCCTGGTGCGGGTTAAATCTTGTAAATGTGATCACAAGATAGAACTGCACATTGGTGTCGTTTTTCAGGTTCTCTTCAAATCAACAGTACCCGTGAAGAAGATGAAGGCACATACGAGTGTGTGGCTACCAACAGTCTGGGTACGCGCTACTCTTACAAAGCCAACCTGTATGTTCGGGGTAAGTTTGGAAGAACAACGGTATATCTTGAAGTGACGTACTTTACATGACAGAACATAGAGTGGCTAAAGGACTACAAGTATGTAGAAGACCAAACTAAACAGAATGGGAGGAGTTTTGTTCGGCTGAAAAATGTTGTTGAAAGCGCCAACTATACCTGTGCAGCTACAAGCGAGTTGGGTTTAATCGAATATAATGCGGAAGTAACAGTTAAAGGTAGGTTCTATAGTTAACATGCTATGGCTAAGAAAAACTTTTAATTTTAATAGCCAAAAGTCAGTAATAACTAATGTTTCAAAGTTCATTGGAAACTCTTTATAATTAGTATCTATTAGTAATTGCTAATTAGTAATTACTAATTAGTAATTAGTATTAGGATGAACTGAACTGAGTATCTAATGGCCTTTAAATCTTAATTACGTTTACAGTACGTAGACACTTGCTCTATTGTATATTGGTTTTATCGACTATACCTATAATTGATTTTTTCCAATTTGCTAATTAGTAAAGTACTATTCTATAAACCTTTTTTTGCCTACTCTATAATGTAATGAATAGGGTAGTTGCTTTTTTGCATGGCCACCTAAGATGCTATAGCTAAGTATACTATTCAACACCCACAGATTGATATTAAAAAGGCTATACATCATTAACCCTCAACAGTACACCTTCCCGGACTGATTAATCTGTACACCTGGGGTCCGCGCGGACCCCAGAAGAGTTTTTTGCTAATTTTTAGAAATTATCAACATGCTACCAGCTCAATTGTTTTGCAAACTGATGTGGGAACCTCTGTGTCCACATTACATACAATAATCATACATTTTGAACTTTTTCTAATTTTTGGTAAAGAAAAGAAGACAAGAAGAAATACCCGATTTTTAAACCCATTTCAGACTGAAGGGGCTTTTGAGGCCCAAATTTGATCTCAGATAGCGGCTAAACGGCTTGCGCTAGAAGTATCAAATTTGGAGACCTTTCTTAAAATGTCTCTGGAAAAAAAGTTCATACTAGTAAGTTGATGTTTTTTTGTGTTGCCATGGCAACGGGTTTCTAGCAGGCAGTTTTTTTTTAAATAGAAGTAATTTTGTTTTAAACATGAAAATTTTCTGAGTTTTATATTAAATTACACTTCTTTTCCAACATTAATAACATCTTACATAATTGAATATAAGTTAAATCATTTGATATGCATAGAATATGCTAATTTGATGACGTCATTGGTCAAAATCCAATATGGCGGACTATATTATTAGCTCTGACGTCATATGACGTCATAATAACACAAAGTTATTAAAATTTAATTCTATTACTACACCATTCTCTGAAAACTTGGTAGACATACGATGAGTGCATAAAAACATATAAAAACGGAAATAAGGTAATGTATAAGAATGCCAGTGTATCCATTATGATCGAAAGCCGGCTGGGGTCCGCGCGGACCCCAAAAGAAAATCAGATATAATTTTTTTTATAGATGGTAGAAATGGAGTTTTCTGCACTGTATTGAGAGACAACTTTGTGGGTGACAATTACTTAAAATTTCAGAAAAAAATATTTAGAAACAAAAAAGATATTACAGAATATATAGCGCTGGGGTCCGCGCTGACCCCAGGTGTACTGTTTAGGGTTAACTAAGAGTATGCCTGCACAATAAGAAGGGTGTATTTTAACGATACTTTTAAGTAATGGTTAGACGTTTCAAGAACGATTGATATCAGGAGACACTGTGTGTTTATTGGGAACTACACTGGGATGATGAAACATTGATACAGGAAAAAGAAAACCAGCGCTATAAACCAACAAATGTAATTTCTCGATTTCTTTACATGATTACCCAAGACACACCCCCTATGGTGGACGGTTATACCGCCCGACGCGGGGGCTGCCCTGGAAATGACATCTGGATTATTTACGCACGCTCCACCACGTTAGAACAGTGTGCTCGGGAGTGCACAATACATCCACGATGTGTCGCCTTCCAGTTCTTTGATAACCACGAATGCTACCCAAAGTCCAAGTCTTGTGAGGAAACTGTGAAGACAAACCCAAAGAACGTTTTGTATGACAGGATTGTTGGTGAGTAACAAGTAAATGACAGTGAGGTAGTTTACTATGCCAGTAAGCGCCTTTTATATCAGCGGGTGTTTGTACAGACGTATTTTTTTAAATGCACGTGAATTATATCTGACAGAATTTCGTCTCAGAAAATCCCCTAAATTATCTGCAACTGTAATAACGCTTATTCATATTTGTTAGAATTTAGCTAATCGTGATCGTAAGAAAGGGAAAAATTGCTTAGTAGCTTTTTTTTTCAAAATATTAAAAATCAGCATGTCATATCTTTTATTTTTACATGTAGCACTTTTAGAAAATTTAGCGTCACAATTCTTCCTTTTTTTCAAAAAGTATTATAATCCGTGTATGGATGTGTAGAATGTGTTTATCGGTCGCCATTCAGATAATTATCAAAACCAGAAATTGGACTGAATCTCCAGTTTAACTGCTAGAAAGAAACACCATTGTCTATTGTCATGAAATCAATCTAAATATTAAAAAGCTAATAACTTTCTTGAACAAAATAAGTAGTTCTGAGGTGAGTAAAATCGAATAGGTCTTTGAAAAAGGATAAAGTTGACGAAAGTTATATTCGTAATTTACTCAAAGTCTGGAAAAAAAGACAAGTCACAAAAATTACGATTAAGAAACACATTCTATTTATTTAACGCTGTTCTATGTTTTTCAGAAGTCGACGCTGACCTGTCATTTGAGGCCCAGCCCGCAGCTGCCTTACACGCAGAACCGATATCTCCGCCGGGTAGGGTCGATGCCAGAATTCATAGTCTACAGACGGATAAACTGACAGAGTCTGAGGCTGATCCTGAAGCTTCAGGATTGGTCAGGAAGATATTCGGGTTACCCATATTCAGGAAAAGACGACTTGTTCCCGACCCACCGGATGACTCTCCGCCAGACAGCATCCTTTTTGTTGTTGAAAAATCACATCGATTTCCGGTAAGTAAAGTCCAATTTGAAATTATTTGGTTCCCGTATCTAATACACACAGATTCCAATAGTACCTTTTTTCACTTTAAAATTAAATTATTTCTTTTATCCAGAACCTCTATTTTAAAAATCAATAATAAATCCGCATCGTTAAGAATTATTTGTGCTGGTAGAAACCGTTAAAACAAAACAAACAAACAAAGGAAAAAGAAAAATTAAACTCGGAAATTCATCCTTAATCTTCGTCAAGAAAATTAAACAGTTTCATTCTGATAGGAGCAGTACAATGAGGGAGAGTTAAGTTATTTTTTTATTTCTGATATATAGACTATCATGTATTGGATTTTTGGGGCAAGCCTGGCTGTAGACACTGTTTAACCCATTTTAAGACGGGGGGGGGGGTTGAGGCCCGCGCTCACTTTCATTTCCGATAGCGCCTGAACAGCTTACTTTAGAACCGTTAAATTTGGTGTATTTATTCTAAGATATATCTGGCAACAATTTAATATTAACTAGATGAGTTACAGCCTTTTCGTGTTGCCATGGCAACGTGTTTCTGAAAAGGCAGTTATTTTAAAAAGATCAGTAATTTTGTAATTTATATATAATTCAGTAAATTTATGTATAATTCCTATAATTAAATATTTATAATTTATGCTCATCGGACAAAATACAAGATGGCGGACAATATTATTAGCTCTTCTTAAAACATGTTTTTTTAACCAAATTTTTTTCGTCTTAACTCCGTACTTTTTTTTACAAAAAAACGTTAATATGAACATCATTGTAACTGACACCGTTAACTGTTAACTGTTCCGAATTGTTTATGTTATTGTTGTGAGGGCTAGCCCTTTATAATAGCCTCCGGCTAGTTGGGCAGTCCTGGCTGCATACATGAGTGTTATCAGCCTAATAAATCAAATCAAATCAAATATGAACATCTTCCGTCCATTTGCATTGCGTTTTGAGGCTGTATCTTAAAAACAATGCAATTTTCAAAATTCAAGATTTCCGATCCCACATACCTTTCCACACAGCTTTCTTTTTTATGACGTCATTTTTTTCAATCTAAGCATAGATAAACTATATTATACTTTCCAGTTGTCAGCGCTGCGGTACAGTTTTAACCGAATCCTGTTTTTTTACCTAAAGCAGTACGAGCTTACAAAGGGGCAGCAGCAACAGGACCTGATGTCAATCACGGAGAGAGAAGATTGAATTGTCTTCGACAGACCAGTCTACCAATCATCAAGTATGGAGTCAATCCTGTGCATAGTGCCAATTTACCAGATCTCTTACGATAATGGCGTCATTAGCTTCTTGACCTTATTTGACAAACGGAAGAGTTTTTGAATAGTAATGAATTAGTATGATTTAAAGATTTACTGCTTGTCTTACATGTATATCATCAATGAAAATTATATACACGGCTCGAATAGAGATGCACTGATCATCTAGCATATTGTAATCCACATGACCACATTTTAAACCATAATTTATGTGCATTATTTATCCTTTCTACTTATTGTTCCTAAAACAACTACCATATGTCAGCACACAATTGATAACAAATAACGAAGGTTTGATAAAAAAGTAATCTTATAACTTATAAAAAACTACTCAGTCATCACTTCTACGGTTTTTCTTTCAGTATCCTGGCAGGTTACCTATTTTTTTTTCTAAATTTTTGTCAAATTTCCTTCCTCTCTCCTCAAGAATAATGCAAAATGTTGTTACGAATGATAAATCATATACAATTTAAACTACTGTTTATCTGTAATAAACGTTTTTATGAATACATGCAAAGTGCTTCCCAAGGTAGTCTTTTTATATTCAAAGATAATTAAAATATACATGGTGAATTTTCGTCTTCAATGTTAGATCTTTTTTTCTAGTTTTGGACATCATAGCGGTAAGATGACTAAAACTTAGGTAGATATAAGCCCCAAATTCTGACAACTGAATTTAAAAGACCAATCCGTAGCCAGTGTGCATTTTAGTTCATACTTTAAAGAGGCATGAATGCATAGTCAAGGACCGAATACGAAAAAAATTGACACTTGAAAGTGGCGTTTAAAAAAGGAAAAATCAATTAATAAGATTTTCGTTAAAAGTGAATCTGCAAAGTATAAGAGAATATACTAAAAGCTGTATGACGATTCTCTTTTTATAAAAGGCTTAGTATAAAAATTCATATAAACAATAGTCCTAACCAACGTAAGTAGCAACATTATCAAGGCGAATGTAAATTTACGCCAAACGAATAAGAATCGTATTTCAACTCATATACATGTATTCAGAAACCAAACGTATACATCCGCCTCTGAGCACTAATGGCCATAATATCTTTGGAGAGAGAATACGACCATTCAAATTTACTGAGCGTCATCTGTAAACTCGATACCTCAAGAAAGCAAGATCGTGGTATAATTTTCGAAATATTTACTAGTACTCACGATTTGACGTAATATTTTCTTTATTACGTTGGCACTATTTGTAATCCAGTAATTCAAATTAACAACAAAAATCAACAACGACACGTTACCATATGCGACAATTCCCCGTAAAGCTCTATATCTTTTAGATTAAGAACAGCTTTGTGTATGTAAATAGTGTATAAGAACTTAACAAGTGGTAACAACGTATCGTAAAAATAGCTATATCCCCAGTCAAATACGTACGATCTAGCCTAAATAAATCGCGCTGGTGGCGGACGCCCGCCCCAACTGTTGCCGCCCCCTTAACCCCCGGCACGGCAGTTTAAACAGATGAACAATGTTATATTTCATAACCATATCTTCCGTTTACTACATATTGTTAACTTGATAACGTAAGAGTATCATAGTACCTGCAAACTGTAAGTCATAATCCCAAGAAATACGCGCGGA